AAAAAGATATAAAAATTGCAAAATCTGGCAACTCTGGAAAACCGACGCTTGTTAGTACTAAATTTTGTTTTATTATATTTATTACATTTTGGATATACAGGCCGCCTTGTATTTTATAACTATTTGTATTATTCGTTTATTTTTTTATTGTTTCAAGTTTGTTGCATAACTTCCAATTTCCATAATCTCTGTACAATTTGACATTCTTAAGTCGAGTGTTTATTTACATCCAGTTTTATTTTCTTTCGTTTAAGGTTATTATTGTTTTGAGTATTTCATCATCCTCTAATATGGAAAAATGTAATATAATTTCTGGATCCTCCGTTATCGAAGTGAACACCGTGTGCCCCGGGACAGTGGAAAGGTTTAAAAAAACATTAACGTCCCGGAGTATTGAAGGAGGATCTCCTTTTCATACTCATTTGTATGATTTCCAAAAAGGTAGGTATACAACTTAAATACAATAATTAATTAGGTTGAAGTTTGGCTCTTGGGGTAGAAAAACAAATTTTAACATTTCGAAAAATCAAATATATATATATATATATATATATTTACAGTGTTTTAGTCCCGTTTGATTAGTGACTTATGTAACATTTTAGGTGAAGAATTACTATGTTATTCGTCTCATGCATGGACATTACTGCTTTACAAAGCAAAATGTATTGACCGCCGCCTGAGTCCTCAGTCAACTTCAAATAAAAAATCTATGATTGCAGAATACTTGATACATTTTTTCGGATGGCATTCAAAATGGGATGAATGGGTGACTGAGGACAGATTATTAAAAATAACCAATATTAACTTAAAATATAAAGAGCAACTAAGAATTCAAGCAGAAGTGTAGTATATTAATATAAATTTACACCTGTGTACAATAATATATTATATTGATTAAAATATTATTTTTATTTATTTAATGTTCAGTAATGAATGGAAAACTCGCACAAGATTAACAGAAGAAGAAAAAAAAAAACGTGAAGAAATTATGAATAGAACAAAACACAAAACTACACAACTAGTATCTTCGTTGTGGACAGGTATTATAAATTAAAGTAATCAATGCCTAGTTTTATAATATAATAATATGTATTTATAATGTTATAATGTTAATTATAAAAACATGTGAAATAAAAGTGATAAAATAGAACAATGGTGATGATTACTTTGTTAGACAGTAAAATAGGAATTAATTATATATATATATACCAGGTGTATTGGTATAAAGTGAGCGTTAGGATACAATTGTGTCGGTAGGGATTATTTGTTGTGAACGGGCCTTCCAGTCATTGAACAACCAACATCATATTTTTTCATTGTGTTGAAAATGTCAAATTTTGTAACGGAAAGTGATGATTTGCAGAAAGCATTAATTTTTTGTTTCCATTTGAAGAAAAGTGCTGCAGAGTCGCATCGAATGCTTGTCGAGGCATATGGTGAAGAAAATCAGTTTTGCATCAAATTGTCACTGGCGATAATAAATATATTTATTTTAATCGTAAATGTAGAATACCATGGGTTAATCCGGGACGACTATCAACATTTACTGCGAAACCAGATTGATTCGGCAAGAAGGCAATACTCTGTGTTTGGTGGGATCAGAAAGGTGCGATATATCATAAGCTTCTAAAACCTGGTTCATGCTAATCGCTACAGACAACAAATGATCAATTTGAATTATGCATTAATCGAAAAACGATTAGAATGGGCCAGAAGACACGGCAAAGTAATTTTGTTACTTGACAATGCACCTGCACAAGCAAAATCGGTTCAGGAAACAATTAAAGCACTTGGCTGGGAGCTGCTACCTCACCCGCCGTATTCACCAGACTAGGCCCCTTCCGACTATCATTTGTTTTCATCGGAGGGACACGCATTGGTGCTGCTCAGCACTTTGATTCCTACACAGAAGACGAAAATTGGGTGTCTGATTGGTTTGCTTCAAAAGACGAACATTTCTATTGGGGTGGTATCTACAAATTGCCAGAAAGGTGGTCAATACTTCGAATACATTTATTTTACTTTCCCTTTCAAAATTAGTGTTTCATTTTCCCAAGAAAAGGCTCATTTCAAACCGGTACACCTGGTAAATATATATTTTTATAGACCATTTAGGCAAGATGACTTCAACCTTTTCATGCAGAGGGCCACATAATATTTTCTACTAATTTTGAGGGGTGGGGGAGAGGTGGCATTCATAGTAAACACGTTTATTTTATACAAAAATCCAGCTTTATTATTATAATTTGTATGATTTATTTTAAATTACGAGCTATTATTATTGATAAAACATATAAAGATTAACATATTTTAATTTTGAACTACAAATTATATATTTTATATTTATTGTGATGACATTGTTTTTCAGTAATTTTTCTATATTAGGTTGGTCCTGAGATGCTGTAATCCTCGGTGAGTTTTCTAAGTGTATGCCAGTAAACCGAGCCATAGTTTACGATTTGATAATCTCTATTTGTAAAAATATATGCTCACAGGTATAAAAATTACCAAAAAGAGTAGGTAATTTAATTTATCTTATTGCATATTTTCCAATTTTTTCAATTTTGGTGGTTTATGGCCGTTCTAATTTTATTGCAATAGAAAAGATATGCTATATTTGAAATGTGATTGCGGATGGTAAATAATGACAAGGTAGGCTGAGGGCTGAAAACCTCTAATTTAGGTTCTTTGCTGTTTTTCCTCCAAAATTCTGTTAATAAAATTCCATTTATTTTTTTTCATAGATGTAATACGTTAATAATAATGATTAGCTATAAGGTAACAATATTGTTCATTAAGTATAAAATGTTTTATTTATTTATACAGTAGCGGAACCAACAAATTTTCTTTAAACCGTGTCTAATATTAAACTGTATAAATTGGTTGGTTAATAAAACATTAAAATATTTTTGATAACATTAGGACAATAATATTATTAACTGTAATTTATTTGACCAATGTAAAGATACATAATACATCAATATATTATTTTAATTACAAACATTACATTGTTCTTATTATTATTAAAATTGAGTATAGTATAAATGTGGATTTGTCACCTAACACTAATATTATAGCATTTTTGAAATTTTTTTAAACTTCCTTCAATTCCCAAATTATTTTGGTTGATTTTCTAGTTAAAATTGAATATTTTTAACAAGTTTATCGAAACAAAATTTTTAATCAAGATCAATTCATAATAATAATAATGATAATCCATTTGCAATCGTAAAGGGTTTATAACTTCATCAGGTCATGCCATTTAATATTTTAATGAAATCCATTTTCTGGTTGTTTTCAACTTTTAATTATGTATTTATTTTGTGTTTAATTTTAATAATTTTTTTAATTATTTTTCAATAGTTAGAGTTTTAATCAAAAGTAAAATTCAAGAAATCCAAACTGAAATTGATTTAAATTCCAAAACATTTAATGAATTTATGGCCTTCGAGAATGAAAATGTAATTCAGTTTACTTATATAATCATAGTTTGCTAGTAATTAGTATATAACTAAGATTTTTGTATGTCAAATTTTTATTTTCCAGTGTAATGATTTTCCAAAGGTGTTAAATTTATTAATTGATTTTGACAAATGTATGGTTCAAAACAATAAGCATGTATGTATAAACAATTATAATTAATTACTTAGCTGGATGTTAAACAAGGTATGTTTATTTTAATATTTTTAGGTTTTGAAAAAGCCTGATGTACAATTAAATGTTTCTTCTATTATAAGGGATTTCATAAGGTTTCAGAGTTGCATAAAATCCGGTGACCCTGGGTAATTATTACATTACTTTATTAAAATTTGTATTTAAGTTTAATTCTATATAATAATTAATGCAGGAACAAAATATTCAATTTTGGAATAAAACTACTGAATGTTTTCAATCAGATAATGATGGGAGAAATAAACGGAGACATAGTATATGCAAATGAGAAGTTGCATAACTTGATTAAAAAGGTTAGTGGGAGAACTTAGTAGTCTAAACCAATTATAATAATTTTAGAATTGTAGTATTTATAACTTTTTACTAAGTTAATACATTTTTTATTATTTATAGTTTGGTCCTAATGTGTTTAACTTTTTAGAGTGACTCATGTTAAAATAAAGACCATATAATATTGAGAAAAAAAAAATAACTTCGGTTTCAGGTGACCTTTTCCAAATATCATCACTCTATGGGTGAATCCCTGATTGAAGTGACTCACATTTTATATTTTTCCATTATTTTTATATAAATGAAAAGAAATTACCCAATTTGTTTTTTAAGTTATAGGTATCTCAAAACCCTTTTTTCTTTTTTAAGCTGCTCAGATATCTCATCATTGAGGCATTTGTTCTAGTTCTTTTTCCCATTAATATCCTCTATACATAGAATTTTTTTTAACACATCAGCCCTTCTTGGCTATATTTAGGTAGTTGGGAGTTTGCTGACAAATTATTCTCAGGATTAATCCCAAATTAGTATTGTAAGTTAATACTTGAATATTTAAAAGAAATATACTTTATTCATATTTTGCCAAATGTTCCTTCAATTAATGGATTTCGTATCATTATCATACAATACTAAGTGTATATAAACATTTCAAAAATATACAAGCATCAAAATGTTAAAGTTAAAAAATTAATAATTTAGTAGTTTAATAATTTACAATAATAAAATTCCAATTTAAATATCTTTATTGATTGTTGATTGATAGTAACATTTTTTTTTAGCGTATTGAAACTTCTCAGAAGGAAATTGATGACTTTCCAAAATATTATGTGTATTATGGAAATCAATTGCCCAAGGGATCTTATTGTCCATATATATTCCATTCAATATACATGTTAAGGATAGTGGGTATGTATGTTTTAATATTACCAATTTAAAATTATTCATTTACATATGTTTGATAGATCTAAATTATTTATATACTTACATGATATAACCCTATTTGGGATGGGTCAAACAAGTCAAAATCTATATTTTGTTTTCTTATTTTAATAATATATTCACATGCTTTTCTATAAAACAAAGAAAAATTTTCTAATAATATTTAAAATTAAACTGGTAAACATTTTGAGGAGATATCAGTATTTTTTATAGTGATGATTAGAGATTGAATTTATATGTACTTAAAATTCATTAAAAAGCGCTTTAAAAAATATTAATAAGAATAGTAAATATAGAGGGGTTTAAAACTTTCCCACTTATTGTTTTTAGTTAAAAAGTTAAAAGTTAAAAAGAATATTTTTATGTAATTTTCTTCAAATATAATTGTAAGTGTTGTAAAAAGAAAAATGCTTGGTGTTCATTATTTGTGAAGGTTAGAAAATTGTATTTAATAGGGTAGAACTCTTTGAGCGGGGACTTCATAATCCCTTTACCACTTTTGCTTTTTTGAATATCTTTGACATTTTAAGCGTTTTTTTTTTTTTATGAATTTCAAGTGTTTATAAATCTGGTCGTTAGTGATTATTATTTTAATTATGGGGCATCTAAAACAGCTATAATTAAAGAAGTAAAACATTGATAATATATGGTTATGCTTTACATCTTGTAGCATAATTAAATTTACAGGGATAACTTGTTATTATAATATTCATTATATGTTGTACTTTATATAAAAAATTTATTACTTATGGACTTGTGTATAGATGAACTAAAAATATTCAGTTATCTTATTTTACAGTTGTTAGTATGGATATAAAGAACAAATTAAAATATTGACAAATGTATAACCTACCCCCCCCCCCCCTCCCCATGAACATTGTTAAATCGCATTTAGTTAATCAGAGAATAATAATTATTTTACAGTAGACCAGATATGTGATGCTATGTTTAGGCCAATTTTGTTATTTTAGCTTAGCTTGCAGGTTCACCAACCTATTTATTTTTATTTAAATTTACTTTAAGCTTTAATGATTTAAAAAAATACAATTGTTATGTAGATAAATTATACAATGAGCTCCTCTATCGGTTGGAAGAAATTGACCCACAAAAAGGACTACTACTTGATTTTATAAAGTAAGTATCAATTTTATGACTTAAGATTCCATTATTTTATTTTATTTAATAATACAATTTTGTTTTGTTTGTGAGTAAAAGTCATTTTTTTTTTATGTCCAAACAATATTGTTTTTCTACCTATTTGATTTGTATGTTTGTCTTTTTTGTGTTAGGTTTTCTTTTAGGCATTTTTCTGAGAGAAACATTTTTGATCTAGCTGGTGTATTGTGTATTTTAAATTTGCTTTTAGTTTGTCTTTCAATTTAGTTTTTGTTATAAATTTGTGAAAAGTAATCTTAGGTATCTGAACTTGAGATAAAACACTTTTTTAAATATTTATAATCATTTGATATTTTCATTTTTTTAGTTTTATTTACATTTATACAGATCAAATTGTTGTGTTTGAACATTTTATTCAATCATTATCAATTAATGTAATTATTAACCAAAACTATTTCCAATGTAATAATAAATTATATTTTCAAAAAATAGGTTAGTTATGGATGGTCCTTTAAGTACTCTTTTTTCTGAAATTTACACTCAAAATTACGAAACCAATAATACTGTAAACAACAAAATATACAGTCCATATATAAAAGCATATTATAAATATGTTGATGACAAGTTTTTTTTATTTAGGGGTTCAAATAGACAAGCAGAAAATTTAGATAACTACTTAAACAAAATAAATAAAAACATTCAATTTACACTCGAAATACAAATAAATAATAAATTAAATTTCTGAAATCTTACAGTTTCCATAATAAACAATAAATTTGATTTAATTATTTATAGGAAACATACACAAACTGATGCTATAATACCACATGGTTCTAATCACACTTATTCTCAAAAAAAAAACATTTTTTAATTCAATTTTCTATAGGCTTGAACATATTCCATTAAATAAATATAATTATCAATACTAGCTCAATATTATCTGTGATATAGCCCATAGAAATAATTTCAATTTAAATACTATGAAACAAATATATAAATGTATTAAAGAAAAAATAAATCACAACTCACCAAATAATGTTGTTAACCATTGTAGTATGAAATATAAAAATAATATGTCTAAGAAATTTGCCAAAATTCTGAATATTAATACAAATAATGTAAAAATTGCTTTTAAGACTAATAATAATTTTATCAAATATATAAATAATAGAACTAAAACCTTCACAAAAATTTGAAATTCTTTTGAAAACGCTGGTGTAAGTTAACTTAAGTGTAATTGTAATACATTTTATATAGGTACCGCCAATAGAAATTTTAAAATAAGATATAAAGAACACATTTCGCTTAACATGTTTTAGAAAATAACTATAATATAAGTTTTGATATTAATATAGATTTAATTACCCAAAATAACATTTACATTAATTCAGTTTTAAAAAAATTATATTTATACAATAAAATAAAGAAAAATAATTTTAATATCTTTTATCAATATCCTACCTTCCCAACTTCTTACCAGTGGCTGCACCCATTCTCATTATCTTACCTTCTTTATTTTTATATTTACAATTTTTATTTATATATTTATTTATCAGAATTAAGAATTTTAATAATTTTGTTCTTACTTTTTTGTATTTTTCATTATAAGTTCTATTTAATAACCAAAAAAAAAAAAAGTTGAGGTTATATTAATTTTTTTTTTTTTTAATAATTGGTTTATGAATGATGAAATTTTGATGAAAATTACAGCATTTTAAAATATATATCTGAGCATTACTCGGAATTATATTTTGTTTGTCATTGTGTACAGATATAATTTAAATTATTATTTTTATTTTACATTTTTACCTTTCTCAAATTTCCATATACATTGGTGGCACATCCATTTCCAGTTCCAGTTTTTTTTTTTTTAATTGTATTTTTGTACAACCATATTAGTTTTAAAACAAATTTCTATTAAAAGCTATAACTACAATTAATATAATGTTATTTTGTTTTTTAGGTTTATTGTATCGCGGTCTAATGAATATTTTACCAACATCCAATTTCAATATATACCTTTGGAGTAGTGAAATAGAGTTTAGTTTTTCCAATTTTTTTTTTTATTATTATTATTATTGTATGTTGTAAAAATTTAAGTACATTTATTAATTTTTGAACAAGTTCATTTTACTGAACGCCCTTTATTTTAAATTTTATTTTTGTATACATGTTTTTAAATGCTGATTTTGGAACTGTTTGTGGAAATTTATGGAAGTTTGAAGTTTGTTGTTTATATGGTTTTAGCTTAAATACCTATTTATTCTACCATCATTCATTTAGAGTTGACTATGGCGCATAGCCTTATGAACTATCAAATTCTATACTGTCTAATATGCAGTTAAATTTTTGCATTTTTTACAGTGAAAAAGCATTTTGGGAGCATCTGGAAATCCAGCCTCCACTCTTTTAATCGAAAATAACCGTCGATTTGTTATGCAAATCATATTTAATGAACAGTGAAAAAAATTAATCTAGGTGAGCCGCAGGGCAAAATAAAAATTTTTAAATCACTTATAGAAATTAGATGGGATTTTTTAACAAAAAAAAGTACATACATTTATTGAGCATTGGACATTATCAAATTGGATACCACAGTGCCTACGGCTTCTGAAATCAGTATCAAAAAACACTTGTTTTCAAAAAAAGAAAATTGAAAAACAAAGGGTGCCTGGTAAAGTAAACTTAAATCTTAATTTTTCATACTATAGATTTAAATTATTGTGTAGATAGTATGTACATGAATATATATAATTTAGGGTGCCAGTTATTTCCTAAGTTGTCAAATGTAAGTAGTACCCACTGGGAATTTGTTTTAATACATTTAAAGATAAGTCTCCTAAATTTTAAGCTTGGTTGACCATATTTCACACATACCAACCAAAGCTCAAAGTTCTAAGAAAATGGATAAAATTGTAATTTTTAAATTAATGAAAAAATCGTATAGAATCATTATTGTAGACCTAGTAGTTATTTACAAATAAGTATTTAAGTAATATTTTTCATTATTTCAATTCTTTCTTTTGAAATCAAGAAAAATGTTCAAAATATTAATCCTTTTTTGTAAAATTAATAAAAATCAATTTTCAAATTTATAAAAAAAAAAAAAATATAAATTGTGTAATTATTTTATTTGTTTTATAATAGGAAAAGAAATAATGTTAAAAACATTTAAACTTAATTAAATTTATTAAAATGGTTTTTTAAGTATGTTTAATGTTGGTATTGGATAATTTTTGATAATAATCTTATATGGTCTGATACATAAAAATAACATAAAGTTATGGAATTTAATAAAATTAATTAATTTAGATATATTTATTTGTAATAGAAGTTGCATCTGTTTTTCTCCTTCTATTATTTTTTGATCAAATTTTTCAATTAGTGTTACTTCTCTTTCTGCTGCATTATTTACTACTTATAGGTTCTTTATTATTTCCTCACCACTTTTAAAATTGAACTTTCCCAATCATTTTGTCTATTTTGACAATTTGAAAAGTAAGTTCTATTCTGAACCAGATATTCCATTGTTTAAAAAATTTAAAATTCTATGATATACTTTGGATAAAACTAATTTTTCTACTGGAATATCTCATAAAGAAGTCAAAAATATTTTAAATAACAGCATTGATGTGTTTTTCGATTAAATCATTTTTTTTAGTAAATACACGTCCATGTTTTTATAAAGTAATGAAATTGTACTTTTTCCTATTTTTTTCCTCTTAAGTGCTTTTATTACTACTTATTTAAATAATATATATTTTTTCATAGAAAATATTCACAATTGTATCAGAATTATAATAATAGGTTCTTTCAAAATTTTTGTTCAAGTTTTCTGACTAAAAACAATAAGAAATTTATAAGTTGATAAATAGTAAAGTTTCGAGTGATTCGGCTGAAATACGTTTGGCTGTTTTATAGCCCCCCCCCTCCCTACTGTTCATTTGTTTATAGATAATCCATAAACTATTATATCACTAAGTTACTTAGTATATCTTAGTTCGTGTTATTTTTTATATATATATATGTATAAATCTATAATTTATCGATTAATCTTACTATTCATTTACATTTTATGATTAAAGGTAAAATAAATTTGGAACAATGAGTTTTCATAGTTTTTATTATTTGATTATCACAATTACGACTAGTGAACTACTATACCAGACAGTAAAAAAAAAGAACGGTTTTTATCAGTACCTGCCAACTTGAAATACACGATAGTTACTGTTATAATTGGAGATTGATGGATATTATTTATATTGACTATTTTTCAAAACGTAACTTATTTTAATTTATTATTATCGTAGAATGTAAAAATAAGCTCAGACTTTTTGCCTCCAGACATTTCTTCCCGTTTCAGAATCGAAATAGATATTTGTTTATCTATCTCGATGATCACAAGATAATAATTAATTGTAATAATAATTATAATAATAATGTATACCCAACCACTAACATATTATAACAGCAATCTCAACTACCTATTTTATACCCTAGTATGACTTAATACATTTTTAAAATTTTCTCGTAGTACTTCAAAATATTCCTTATAACATAGTAATAAACCAAGTATTAGAGCTTAAACCAATTATCACTAGTTTAAAACTACTTGCATATTATTTGTCAAGTCATTATGTAAATCAGGCATATCAAATATGCTGACCACTGGACCAAAACAAAATCATTAATATGGTTAATACTTATAAATAAATGGTATATATAAAAATAAATGTATAAAGCATTGCCTGGAGTATTATGATTAGTGTATTATTTGACCAGTTTCGAATCAAATTTAAAATTCATCATTTATTAATTAATTTTTTATTTTCATTTTGTGTTACAACTATATTGTTAGAGAAATATATACTTTGTTATTTCCTATGATAAATAAATAAAATGGTAACTTACCAAATGGTTATTACTTATGATAGTACCACACTCTTTAGGGCATTCTTACAATGTGTAACCTACAGAGTTCTTTGTCATCAACTACACGTAATAAACACAAAATAATAGTTATCTACATACACAAATATTAAATTACACATTTTAATTTTAAAATAATCTTTAATCTTAACTATAATACATTTTGCATCGGAGTTAAAAAAAATTATCACTACTTACATGGAATAATAAAAAATTAAACTAAAAAATGAAAACTTGATTTCAAGCTAAGTATAGGTACACTTAATATGTATTTATCATTAAGTTCTTATTTTTTTCCAATAATTATAAATAAAATTAAATATGAGTAGAAAAACTTCTTATGGCTATATGTGTTTACATCAACCTTACATTAAAAAAAAATAAATATATTTTACAAAATGACAAGATATTGTATACATGTCCATATTATTTATTAAGATTTGCAAGAGCATATGTATATATTTCAGGATGTATGGCGGATAGGTAACTCAGTGTTGCTGCATCTAAATTCCAAGGGCAACCATTTTCAAATGCATACCGCAAAGTCCCCAGTTTACCAGATAAGATAGCCAATTCAGTTGTACTTGCAGACCATTCACATCCATTCTCATGAGCATATCGCAGTGTATTAATATGCCCAGAAACAGCAGCCATTTCACAAATACCCTTGTCCCATGGACATCCGTTTTCATGAGCATATTTTAAAGTATTTAATTGTCCATTAGCAGATGCTATTTTGCATGTATCAATACTCCATGGACAACCTTGTTCATGGGCATACTTTAAAGTGTTAATTTGTCCAAATGCAGATGCCGCTTCACATGTTCCCTCGTCCCAGGGACAACCATGTTCATGCGCATACTTAAGTGTGTTAATATGTCCACGCGCAGCAGCATATTTGCATGTGTTTAAATCCCATGCACAACCCTGTTCATGAGCATATTTTAATATGTCAAGATGATCATTTTGTGCTGCCAAATTGCATATGCTAATGTCCCATTCTAATCCTAAGTGGCGGGCATACATTAAACAATCTAAGTGTCCGTGTTCTGCGGCACTGGCACAAATTGACAAATCTAGTATACTGTTTTTTTCTCTCTCTGTGGTTGTACCCAATAGAAAACGACAACAGGGACGCAAATAGACTTTCTTTATAAATTTTGGTACAGTGTTGTACCACTCTTTTTCTTCATCATTGCATGCAAAATATGATAACTTTATCAAACTAAACATAATTTATTCAATTCTTGAAGTCGTCTTGTTGTATTGATCTAAAAAAACATAACATACAAAAGTTCTCATTATTCTAACAATATCAATACTAATAAATATTAATATTTTATTATATATTATTTTTCCAAGGTACCTATTAAAAATAAAAAAATGAATAGTCTTTAAACACTAGTGTTAGAACAATGTATGTATTTTAAAATTATGATCAATAAATACAAATCATAATAACAATAAAAATGACCATATTTTGAATTGCCATTTTTTAAGGTTAATATACAATATCTATAAAAGTGAGCATGATAGGTACGTTTTGATTATACCAACGGATTAAGCATTAAAAATCACACATTTGAAAATGATAAATTCTCTCTAAGAAATACTCGAAACAGAAAACCTGAACTTCATAAGGTTTTCCCTCATAACTTCCAAACGATGTCCATCCGACTTTCACCTCGTAAGTACTTGGTATACATTACAAATTTTTAATATTTTTAAATTATGTCATGTAATACCTAATTGATATAACTTTGGCTTATACAAATCATTTACCTAAATAAATTATAATAGGTATTTATTTATCCCTCCTCACTCACCAGCCTTTGATAAGTACATAGATGTTTTAATTGTAAAGGGTCCCAGGATGGAGATTGTTCCCTCTACATCCTATTTGATTATATCTCATGTTATTGTTGTTGTTTTTTAAAAAAAATCAATAAATCTAATGTTGGTATTGTTGCTTAATAAACAATTTCTCCATAATTTCTAAATTATTTATAACTTGAAAGTAATTTAAGTTTAACAAATGTTCCATGTTTTTATAGTTTAATAAATAATTTAAAAATAATTAACAATGGTTTGGTCTAGAATTTTAGTACACTAATAAAAAATCTACAATTATTCAAAAATGCAGTTTATAAATCTTGCACTAATAGTTGAATTAATATGTGATGTTTTAGTGTACTAATATAATTGGTACACTAATATAAAATTCAAAAATCTACCCCTAGATGTGAACCAGCTTGGGAAATTCTTTGTGAATTTGAAATTAGAAACTTGTGCTTACTGCTTTGTTGTTGATGTTACAGCTTTGTTCAACGCATTAAAAAAAATTATTATTAATTTTATAAATTGTTTATCATATTTGTACTTATTAACACTTAACGTATTATTATTTTATTACTTATATAACTATGATAGACAGCTGCTGTATTATACTTCTTTCCTTTTTTTCACTGAGCTTGACAAATTAAAACAGTAACCAATTGTATATTATTTAATACTGTTGTCAGTACAGAGTAACCTACATAGTTACCTGATGTAGGTTCATTCTATTTTATACATCATGATAAGAATTACATTTTTATCTTTTCCACTTTGATCTACAACGTTTAGAAGGTTCTATGGGAATATACGTCAATTCATCACATAATATTGTTATCTATAATATAAAAGTGATAAAATAAAAAAAAAGGGTTTATTTATGGTTATATATCAATAAAAAAGTGAATTTATCATATTCACTGATTTCATACTTAACTTACTGCAACACATTTAAATTATAATTACCCTCAGGACTTGATTCCATAAGTTGAACAAAAGTTGGTAAAATAAAAGAAAGCAGATTTTAAACTTTAAACATTATGTTATCTTTAAAAATTAATCATAATTAATATAAAGAAGGTTTAGTTATTATCCACTAATTACAAAATAATAAATATTGTTTATCAATTTATCGCGTATATATATTACAATTTTTTTTTTAAATCAACATTTAGTTATACCTTATCTATCGTCAGTATAATATTAAAGTAAATAATTAATAAAGAAATTTGTAATGTACCATATTATATTTATGAGTCTATTTTTCTCATTTAGATCACTATTAATGCCACCTCTTCTGTACTCGCTCTATGGGCTTTCTTCTCTCGTAACTCTAATTCCTCACCTAAGCATTTTCAAATCTATTTCACTCATTACCTGTTATCCATATTTGATCATAAAACGACTTCCAATAATATGAGGTACTCAATGATAGTAGATTTTGGTGCCTAATCTTAAATATTCAAATACCTAACCAGAAAACAGCTCAAAAAGTGGTATTATCGAAAACTACGAACTTAATATCATTAAATGGCATAAATACCTTGAATCTTCTAAGTCAGGGCTTCAGATTTTTATATTAAGTACAGATTATACTTATATAAGTGCAACGAGTTTAAAGAAAAAAAAAACGGTATGTAGCACAAACTAGTAATGTTCAAACTTTATGTAAAATTATACATGAAAAGACATACTATAAACGATTAGATATAATCATCTACATTTTTTTTACTTAAACATTAAAGATGCAACAAAAATATTCACAAAACAAATACAAATTATTAAGCGTCAGTGCACGGTCTTACATAAGGTTTGGCGTCACAGGGATGCAGGGTGGATTAATAACATAATAGTAATAGTCCAACATAGTGGAAGGGGGTGTAGCACTGTTGCTTCCAAACCATGCTAGATTTTTTCATGGAACAAAATTATCGAATCGATAAAAATTAAATTATTGAAAGTACCAGTATTCGTTTATGGTACGATCGTAACAGTTTGCAATGATAAGTAACTACTCGTGTTCGATGAGTGTGCGTATCAAAACGTTTTCAGTATCCTAACATTGATTCATTTTATAAATGGCGGGAAAGTGAAAAAGTTTAAAATACCAAGAATGATCGATTAATAATCATTAGTATCATTATGCATTAACAAATAGTAAATCCTTTAATATTTACTTTTTGTTATTTAAGTCCTGTAGTTCTATTATTCAGAATAATTTAAAACGAATTTAATATAAATTAATATGTCTTGTTACTGAATTAAGTAGTTAGTACTGTACTTACAACTTCCAATATATATTTAATGTTTTAAATTATTTTTGAGTAATAAAACTACAGAAACTACTAAATTCAACACACAAGTTATATTAGGGTCTTGGAGCTTTTATAGGTACATCCTAGTGAATTTTTAATTAAGTTAATATTTATAAATTTATATTAAATATATTGACAAAGTATGAATATTGCAAATGAATAGTTATTTCAAAACATAATAGACAATCATAGACTTTATACTATTAGACTGGCTTTTTGAAAACTCATAATCATCGATTCAAAATATATATTTGTATCCAATACACATAGCATCAAAGACAGAGGGCGTTTTCCTTGACTTGCAATAACAATGAATTTTTAAATCTTGATTTTGTATTATTTTCTAAGTTACTAGACCAATGAAATTATAAAGCAAAAGTTAGATAATTTTAAACAAAAAAGTGACAAGACTAAACATAGAATTAATATTTAGTGAGAAATTTTTATCATCAGGTTGCATATGGTTAGTAGTAGAACAGTGAAAGCGCGACAGCTGAATTTCGATAGTACAAATGTTTTAAATGTTAACCTATCAAGCATTTAAAACTTTTGCCCTATGTGAATTTGCTCAAAGATATCTATAATAAAGCCTTTAAAAGTGCTTTAATCTTTAATTGTGGTTAAAATACATGGGTAGGTTAGTCCAGTTTTCCCAGTAGTTCCTACGTTTTGATAACTATCAACCAGTTAACATCATCAACAATAAATTGATTGTTTATGATTTATAAGTTACCATTTAAAGTTTAGACTGAAGGAATAGGTAATGGTAATAGATTACATATCTATTTGTAAATAATAAATTATTAAAACTTTTCTAATCTTTCAGTCTAAACTGAAAACAGTAAATCTGATACATCGAGATAGATAATAAACAATTAGTTAATTAATACAATTAGTCAATTAATAAAACATTAGTATTGTTTATCTATCTCAATGATCTGATGTGTTAGGCATATCAAAATTTTTACAAAAATATTCTCTATTCAAATCTATATTCAAAAAGTGGGGTTTCTATTTGAAAAACAAAAGTAAATACTTATGTAAAGTATATGGAGCAGGGATAAAATTCAAAATGGTAATGAAATAAAGCTTAATAGATTCCACTGTCTTAAAAAAAAAAAAAAGGAAATCAAATTCTCTCAATATCCTCCAAAAGATTGCTGGTTCATGATAAAAAAATCAGTCTGTATACCATTGTTTAGGCAAAAATCAGGATGTATTTGATTATATTATTTACTGTAATCGTATAATATCTACATTATTTTATTATTTTATTACAGAAGAGTTGGAAATACCAAATTATAAATCGCTTATTGTTAATAAATTAATTTTTTTTTTCAAGTTGGCGTGACAGGTCATTTTACTGGTAATTAACTGTAAATTAAATATTGGCTAACATAATATCAATAAAATAATAACATCACATCAAAAAGTCAACAGGTAGATTGCTAAAACAGATATATAAAATAAAATAACATAAAATATGAATTAATGTACTAAGTGGATAATGATAATAATAATAATAATAGTAATAGTGGGTGATTCATTCTAAAGGTAATATATGAAATTGTATTTTTAAATTTTGACGCTTCAAAATTCTGTTAGCTTTATAGCCTTGCTGTTAGCGGCTTGTAAGTCTGTCACCTCATATTTTACTGGGCATCCATTGCAATTTAGTAGATGCCACATTGTCTGGGCCTCTCTGCATACACAGCTCGTGTCTTCCTTCCCATCACTGATTCCCCATTTTTTTAGGTTCTCCTTCGACCATCCAACTTCTGTATGTAAGCGGTTTAATGTCCTCCATATCGTCCATTTATTGTCTTGTCCTGGGGGTAACTTCTCTTCGACTACTTGCCTGCTCTTTACCTCCCATAATTTCAATATCTGTGGGTTCTCCTCTAATTTCTTCATACATTTTATAAAGCTCTTTCTTGATTTTAGTTGGAAACATTCTATTTGTGTGTCATACATTGGGTGTCTTACATCCGGAATCTGTTTCATCCGTTCTATGTCACTAGCAATTTGTCTACATATATGTGATGGCACTATAACTGCTAGAGGATATAGTTTGTCTACTGATGTTGGTTTTAAGCATCCTGTTATAATGCATACCATGTCATTTAACACAGAATCAATTTGTTTAGGGCCAGTTGATCTGCTGCACACCACAGAAAACACAGAGCTAGTGCAGAGATTTTAACTGTGTCAGGATGAGCTCCCCACTTTGAACTAACCAATTTCCGCAATAGTTTTTCTAGCGCATATTTTCAGTTTTAAGGCAAAACAGTGTTCTTTAAAATTGAGTGATCTATTAAGTTAACGCCCTTAGGTATTTAGGGTAGGGTGTGTGTTCTAACTTAACTTCTTCCTAGGTGATGTTCAGTTTTCTAGATGCTAGTCTATTTTTCAGACGGAATACACAAACTTGAGTCTTCATTGGGTTAGGCTTTAGCTTCATGCTTTTGTAGTATGTTATCATGGTTTTAAGTGAGGACTCCAATATAAATTTTACTTCAAAGTTGTTATCTTGAACTGTTATCATTGTATCATCCACATAGATAAAATGTCTGGCACCTGGAGTGATTGGTTGGTCATTCATATATATATATATAAAAAAGGATTGGGGCCAGATCACTGCCATGTGGAAGCCCATTTTATTGACTTTTCTTGCCTCCTAGTGTCATGTAGAATCTTTTGTATTGGAAAAAGCTTGTATTATTTGTGTAAGACCTTTTTCTTTGGTTAGATTGTAGATTTTATCGAGTAAAATTCCATGGTTGACCATATCATTGGCAACTGTCAGGTCTATTAGGGCTACTCCAGTGAAATATTATTTTTCAAAGCCATTTTCAATAAACTGGATTATATTTAGTAACTGCCCCGTGCATGATTTACCTGTATGTTATTATAAAATATAGATTTAATCCCTATTATTAAAATTTTTATAATACCTACTTATCCAGATTTCAATATTGGACAATTCACATGATACTGTCGATGGTTCAATTAATACATTGATTTTATTAATTTCTACAACACTATTGTCTGACCTAAAAATAAATGTAATTATTAATAAGAGTTATAGATTGGCATTACCCTATTACAAATTTGACAAGGTTAAATTTACTACATACCATAATTTCAATGTTTGATTGTCCACAAACTAATACTGTTGTTGATTTGATTAACTAATTATTTATTGCTTATCCTTGATATCTATCGATATAATATTATTTGTCCCTAATCCATATTCTCTAAATAACATTTAAGCTTAAGTCGAGGCAAATTAGTGGTGCACTAATAAAACGCAACCACAGAATGATACTCCACTACTCTCATTCAATCTAAGTATTCTAAACTATCAGTTTTAACTACACTTGAAAACTTGAAAAATCAGAATTTAACCAAAAAAAATGGGGTAAACACGTTTAATTTATCACCCATATCAATCATTTCTATATAAAGGAATTTTTTTCATCAACTTTTTATGCTTTATACAAGAAAAATTCATAATAAACAAAAAACCTAAAGTATTTTAAATGGAAAACTTTAACTCAGTTTGAAGAATTAAGATTAATCATGGTGATTGAACTAGAAGATTTTAATTGGCTAAATTGTTAATGCTAACAGTTATTAATATCCATAGTTAAAAAAAAAAAATTATTTATTTTAAGTTCTCCAAGAAAATTGCAAGTTCATGATAAAAAAATCAATTTGTATAAATAAGTATAACACATTAAATGGGCCTAATTAAAATCCTGAACAACTGATAAAATTGAATTAATCTCTTTCTACCAGGGAGCAAAATATTAATCAACAAACAAATTAATAAAGTAGCTATAATAAGTAAGTAGATATAATATGATATATTATTAAGCTTGGCAATATACTTTTATGATGATATTTTAGTAATTTAAAAAGTTTAACTTTGAATAAAAAAATATTTTTTCATGAAGTTCGGGTTTTCTATTTCGGGTGTTTCTTAGTTAGAATTTAACATTTTCAAATTTTTTATTTTCAAAATATGTTTTTAATGTTCAATCCATTGGTAAATCAAAATTCACCTATCATACTTACTTTTTTAGATTTTGTAGGTGAAATGAGAGACTCGATGTAGTCACTCTCTATTTATCAAGATTTATGTACAAAAACTAAAAATAAGTATGATAGATAAGTTTTGATTGTACCAATGGATTAAGTATTAAAATAAATAACACACAGTTTGGAAAAAAAAAAAATTTGAAAATGTTGAATTTTCACTAAGAAATATGTGAAACGGAAAAATCCAAACTTTATAAAGTTGTTCCCATAAATTCCAAACGAAATTCCTCTAACTTTTCTTTTACATTAAGAATGTACATACAAAACACACATTTTGAAAAACAAAAAAATAAAATTTCATTATGATTTTTGTGTATGAGAGCATACCCAAAAAAAAAACCGAACTATTTTTGTACAGTTATTTATTTAATTTTTTTACAAAAAACATTTAATCTCCTTCAAAGTACTCTCCGATGGAGTAAATGCACTTGTCCAGACTTTTGTTCCAATTTTCGAAGCACTTTTTAAACTTATCTTTTGTGATGCCTGGCAACTTATTCTGGAGAATAAAAAGAAGTCGTACGGAGACAGGTCGGGTGAATAGGGTGGATGGGACTCCGTGGTCATATAATTTTTGTTCAAAAACCGCCATACAGAAAGGGCTGTGTGAGCAGGAGCATTGTCTTGATGAAAAAACCAGTCTCCTGACTGCCACAAATCAGGTCTTTTTCACCTCAAACTGTTGCGTAATCTTTTTAACACCTCTAAAATACTTGGTTAACTGTCTGACCAGGTGAAACAAACTCCGAATGGATGACTCCTCTCACATTAAAAAAACAAATGAGCATTGTCTTAATGTTTGACCTCACTTGACGAGCTTTTTTAGGGCGAGGCGATGCTGGAGTCTTCCATTGGCTCGATTGTTGCTTGGTTTCAGGATCATATACATAGCACCATGATTTGTCACCTGTAATGACCTTGGAAAAGAAGTTTGGGTCATTTTGGAATTCTTCTTTCAAAGAAGAGCATGATTTCAGGCGGCCTTGTTTTTGCTGCTCAGTTAGCAGTCGAGGAACAAATTTTGCAGCCACCCGTCTCAACCCCAAATCTTCACTTAAAATTCTCTGTACTGAACTCCATGTCACACCAGATCTCTCCACTACTTCTTCGATGGTTTGCCGTCAATCTTCCAGGATAATTTTGTGAATTTTTTCTACATTTTTGTTGGTTCACGCCATCGAAGGACGTACAAAGGGAGCTTGGTCTTCTATTGACATTTCACCACCATTCCATCATGATGACGGCCATTGGCATATTGAATGTAGAGAAGTATATTTATACACCCCTACCAGAAAAAAATCGGTACTACTAAAACTGTCCCACACAACATCAGTTCGGTTTCTTTTGGGTATGCCCTCGTATAAAGTATATTGTATACAAATTCTTACTTGGATTTACTATTTTTTGTTTCTGTTTTTTGCATATTACCCATCAATGAGTTAACATTAACTTCAACTTCGTTTAATTTTGTTTTTAAATCAGTAAGTTCTATTTCTAATGCATTTATTTGACTAATTAGATCATTACGTTGTTTTTGTATTTCCAACTTGGACCTCATATTTTTAAAATAACCACCTGTTAATGTTCCATTAGACGAAACCTAATTGTATTTTAATTAATATTTAATTAGTTTTAATTATTAAATATTTATGTGGCATATTACTGATTTATTTTTTAAAAATAAAAACGTTACCTGGTCTCCATCAATTGTTATACAATCTAGTAAACTTTGTTTAGAAATTGTAGTAGCAATTTCAAGATTTCGACATATTAATGTTTTTCCAAAGATAAATCTCATGGCTTTATCCAAATGTGGCTCATACTTAAGCTTACTAACCATGGGAATAGCATCCTGAAATGATTAAAAATTAAAAAATGACTTAATATATAAAATAAATTATACTTTTTTAAATTTAATATAAAATAAAAAATAACTGTACATACCCTAGACTGTGGATATTTTATTTCTCGAACTGTTAATCTATTTATTGGCATAAAAGTAACTTCACCAGGTAAATTCTGATTATTTATTTCTTTTAATATTTGTGTACCAATTTTATCAGACTCAACAATATGAAAAAACATTCTAAAAAATATAAAAATAATATTGTTATTTAATGTTTTATTTGTTATTTATATTAAAAAAAAAATTTTTTTTGTCTGCTCTTTTTCATTCTAGTATTTGGAGGATAGGAGTCCCCAAAATCTATTTAATTTCTACAAATACACCAATTTTTTGTATCATTATCAATTATGGATCTCATCTCGATCCATCATATCTTTAGTTTTATTGACTCCTCTCCCTTCGTTACCAGTTTTTACAAATATTTCAATATCAAAAATCTATCTTTAAAGATACTGAAATCATGGAAACCTGATTGGTGGATCAGTACCAGCACTTACCATACCTTTAAATAACTTTGGAAAGAAGAATGGAATAATAAAAAGTCGTATAACAATGACCTAATTAAGGAACCAAATATAATGTTCAAAAGATTTTAATTCCTAGAAGAGAGTGATCAAGGTTTAACTGTTTTTGGTGCAGTCAAAGAGATCTAATCACTAAATGGTCAAACATAATTTAGCAGATTCAGCATTGTGCTAGGTTGGAATGATACAAACAATGGACCTTAATTAGGAATGCATGGCACACTAATTCAGGAGGCATGAAAGGTTTCCAATCTCTGGAAAGATTTAATCTGATGGCTGTTGGAATTAAAAAGATGGTTACATAATCTTTATAATTTAACTACATATTTATGTGTTTGTAATTTTATTTTGTTTCATTAGTATTTTAGGTATGTTATTTCTTCACTGTTCCTACATGGTTAACTATACAAATAAATAAATTCATTTCTATGGCTTAATTATACTTAAGTAAACTATACCTAAAAAACTATTCAAACCTTTCAATTTGTTCTCTGTTTATACTCTGTTTTTGGAATAACTTAACCCTCTTATATGCTATCTACTTCACACATCTACCTGAATAGTATTTTTCACAACACTTATTTCTCATTGTATTTACTTATTCATTATCCAATGTTCATTATTGTACAAATAAATGATGATAGTTAAATATCAGAGGGATTAAATATATTTAACGCTGGCTTCCAAATATTGTGTTTTCAATTAGGATTTCACCCAGCAAGTTGTTTGAATAAGACACTTTTTTTTCTTCTACAAGATTACGCAAATAAAACAAAACATTTTATTTGGTTAATCACAAAATATAAATAACTCTTAATAAAAAGCTTGATGTGTAAAAATAAATCCCAAAATGCGGCAAATTTCTATGTATCCGCTGCCAATTAGCTTTTTGCCCAGTTCTTAAATGACATAGCATAAGAAAATTTATTCCAAATTAATTTAAGTAATTTCGACCCAGATTCTGTAGACTTATAGCTGAATTCTTTTTACTCTCAGTTTAACTGAAAATAAATCCAACCATTCAATGGCTATGGTAATTTCAAATTGCATGGAAAATGCTTACTCTATGAATAAAAATGAATTGTGGTAACACTATTTTGATAATTCTACTGTCTAGCCATTTTAGAAATTTATGGTAGCCTAAAGAGTATGCAAACATACAGTATGTTACCACGGGCTTATGTTCTGTTTGTTGTCTAAAACTTTTATCCAGTTTCAATTGTGATTTTAACTTTTTCCTGTTTATGAACCTTTATCATACATAATTTGTGTGACTTCATTGTTTATAATCTAGTCAAATAAATGCTGCTTGTTAGGGTGTATAAGTAACATAAGTATTGTTTTTTTCAAATGACTTTAAAGAACAAACATGGATTCTAAAATCCAATTATTTTTCATTATTATAATAATATAACAACAAAATACTGTTTCTTAGAGGCCTGCAGGGCCTGACAATACCTGCCTGGAAGATTGTTAAATACTTTGATTGGCACAATTTTTTGGGTATATAAAAAGGAGGCCAGGTACAGATTTTTTCTTATCAGTTTCAAATAACGATATTACACCAGTTTTATCTTTGTAAGATTAGTAGTATTAGGTTAAAAATAAAAATATAAGTAATGGTCACTACGTTTTTAAAAAAAAAGCAGGGATCGTAATAAATTTAAAGAACTCAGTTCTCACAAGCCATCATTATTTTACTATTACTTATTTAACTTTCTATTATATTATACATTGTCAATAATCATTCACTGCTCAGGAGTAATGGGTATCAGAAACTAATGGCATTCTATTGTATCAATATTCTATGATCCAACCCATTCAAAATAAAATCCAATTAACAAAATATTTGTTTTCTTACCTTCCACCTGCTGTAACTTCAACTGCAGTTTGAATACTATTTTCACATTCAAAATTTTCAATAACTTGTCCATAATATTGACCAACCAAATCAAGGTAAGGACCACCTTTTTCTTTAAACACATCTAACACTTTACGTACACTATCTCTGCCGTTTAAAATAGCCTAAAAATAAAAATTAGAAAATATTGATTTATTTATTATTGAATATTTTAAGACGTATTAATTACTTTTCCAGCCATACTCCGGAGAACTTGGTCAGCTTTAGCTAACTCCTCTTTAAGAGATGACAAACTATGCTGAATAGAGTTTTCTTTACGCCATAATTCACTACAAAAATAAAACCCATTGAACACTTTTAATTGTTTTGAAACAAAAAAAAATTAATAACCCACATTATCTATGAATAAAAATAGTATCAGAATAACTTTGGTTTAATTTTAATTATTTGGTGAGATTTTAAAAGAAAAAAAAAATACTTAAAATGTTTTTAAAGTCTGAAATTATTTTAGATTTATATGCTAGATTAATATTAAGAAAGCTATACTTATATTCTAATAATTTAACTATTTAAGATAATGTTTAACTTTAAATACTTAATTGCAATATCAAAAATATCTATAGTAACAGGTGATTCATTTAGAACAGTATTTTCAACTTATTTTTACTCAACGCCAATTTCAGATTTTCAAAAATTCCCGCATCCCAAATAAATTTAAGAAAATAATTACAGTTTAATTTTTATAATCAGCTATTTAATTAAAGTGAAAAAAAAATATTTTCTAAACTTTTTTTTCTTGGACATTTTAATTATAATTATGAATTAGTATAACTTTAATGTACACACACACTAAATTATAACTTCATGTAATAAATGTAAGTATACAACTGTCTAAAATATCAGTATGAAAATATTACCAAACAAAGCTTATTGGCATCAATATGGTAAAGAAAAACTAGTTTACTATCATTTCGCTATTACTGTAGTATGTAAAAATTAAAAATATAAAATTATTTTTTATTGGATGCAATTAGACATTTCACATGCAATAAGTTTATTGTTTTTAATAATAGCAAATTATATTTTTAATCATATATTTTTAGTCACAGTCGAACTGCCCTCTTAAGTAAAAAGCCCCTTAAAATTAAAAATCCCACAAGGAAGTGGTACCACCCATTCCTTTGAGAGTCACTGATTTAGAGGTATTATTTTTAAATTGGATTTAATGACAGATAAGTGTATCAAGTTATATCAATCTGTGGTGGTATTTTTATTAAGTATTGTTTGACATTTCATCATAGAAATACTTAACCTGACATAGTATCTATAAATTATTTAACTAACTGTATAAAAATCAACTGTAAAAAAAATCAACATTCTATGAGGACGTAGGCTTATAGAAGAGAGAAATTTATCAGCATAATTGGCCAATTTTAAACAATTGTACAAATTTGTACAAACCCAATTTTCATTATTGAATAACACAGGACCAAATGGGCCACATCCAATAAAGAATCTAGTGAAGAAAATATAGCTGGAAGTGATAATTTTATGATAATTTTCTGCCTGAAATTGATACCAGTGATCTAGATGACATTTGGTTTTAACAAGATGGCGCTACTTGAAACCATAAAGATACTGCGAGAATAATTAATTTCATGATTCAAATTGATTAAATGGTCACCCAGATCATGTGATATTACACCTCTCAACTTTTTTCATTTAAGCTACACGAAGTCCAAAGTCTACATAGCCAAGTCTATCCGAGTGTAGCCTGTTAGAAAATTGGAAGCCAACATCATACATGTCATTAGCCAAATAAGGTTCGAAATACTTGAATGGGTCTTTGAAAATTGGAATTTTAGAATAGCCCATGTTAACCACAGTTGTGGCCAGCATTTAAAGGATATAATAATAAAGATTACCCAATGAAATTAAAATTTTTTATTTTTGAAAAAAATAACTCTAAATGAATCACTATACTTTATACTTCTTATTGTAGCAAATATGGTTTTTTCTTATATTTGGAAAAATTTGGTAAAAAGCCTTAAATTAATACTGGAATCACAAAATAAAATAAAAATTAGATATATATAAACAATTTGAAACAAAAAACCCATTTTATTTTCATCAGTAAAAATATTTAATATTTTATTTGATAGGTTTGAATTATTTTCTTAACTCTTTCACTATCTCTATAATACTATCATACTAAAAATCAACAATAGCTTTTTTTATCAATATAATAACACCATCATTTAGTAAATTATTAGATAAATTTAAAGATATAATAATAATGAAAAAAACTTGTAATAAAGTGTGAAAAATTTAGTCTAGTCATAAATTGTATCATTATTTAAATACCGATTTCCTAATGCATATCCAAGGTTAATAGACAGCATAGTTAATGGTTAGGTTAGGAATTTTGAAGACCTATAACCCTCCCTATTGATAAATCTCAATTATGCTATTAATAATAGAATAAAGATAATGTCTACTATTTTGGGAACCAATCTCTCAGTCTTTCAACCAATGTATGACACAAAATGTACAAACATTTTTGACAAAATGTATAGTAATTAATAACCATTTGATAAAATTTGAATGATTATTAAAAATAATTTATCTGTTATTGACATTTATCATTATAATTATTCTTATTGTAACCCATATGATGGTCTATGATAGAATATATCAAATTTTTCATAAAAATATTAAATGCTTTATGCTTTATTTCTTCTTTATTATTTTTTAAGCTTACATTAGTAATTAAAATTAAATATTTAACGTATTACTTTTTTTTTTTAATTGTTTGTTAAAAGTAAGAAATATTTTAATAGTGTGTTTCCATAATTCAAAAATTGAGAAACTGTTCTAACTAATATCTTCTGAAATAATGATTCAAAATATTTAAAATTTACAATTCACAACAAAAAAAAAAAAATCTTCAAAAATAAAATTGTACTCATACCAGCACAGAAGTTTGCACTAAAAAAAAAGCAGTGAAAGGGCTCTAAGGTCTTAACATAGTTGAATGTGACACTTACTTTCTCTGACTTTGATACTGGTCTCTTAATTTTTTTAATTCATAAAACTGTTTATTGTATTCATCTATAGCAACCCTTTGTTTTTCTAATTCAATAGAATTAACCTAAAAATAAACACAAAAAATATATAGGTTCATTTTAATAACAATAAAATTAATATTCATAATATACCAAAATTTCTCCTTCCAATTCCTTTTGTCTATCTCCATCATGTTTTAAATCCTCAATCAATTTTTCCTTGTGATCACTTTTATCTTTAATTTGTTTATTTAAAGATCTAAACAATTAATTAAAATTAGATGGTTATTAAATTAAATTTGTTTAAACTAAAACAAAAATATTTTGCTGAATAATATGTATAACATAGCAATATTCTTTACTTTAAAATAAATTTTAATTCGAAAGAACTTATTACCGGAGTTCTTTTTGTATCCACATATCACGGTCTTCTTTTGAAGTGAACTGACTACCACGGCCTTGTTTTGCATATAGTTCTTTTCTTTTTTGTTCTTTTAAGGCAAGCCTAAATTTCAATAATATACATATAAAAAATTGATTAACTTCTAATTTATTATTAATATTAGTGAAATTATAATTACTCTCTGGCGCAATTCTCTTCCTTCTTTTTTTGAGATTCATATTTGGGTTTTAAAAGTTGAAGTTCTGTCTCTTTAGTTTTAATGGTTTCTTGAAGCTTTTTTAATTCATTTTCTGCTCTTTCCTATCAAAAGAATAAATTGATTTGTGACATATATTAATATTTCTATTCCCTTTATATTTATATAGATTATAAATAATTAAATAGCTAACTTTTGAAGAATTGTCTCCAGCCACTTCATCAGACAAATCCTTAATAGCAAAATCTAATTTTGTTTTTTGTTTAATTAACTCTTGTTGATCTAAGCTTAATGTTTCTTTTTCATCTTTTGCAGCATGAACATCCCGTTTAGAATCACGCAAATGTTTCCCTGCTTTTTTTGCTTGTTCAGAGGCTTCCTTAACTTTAGATGCAAGTACTTTCTGTTCTCCATCAAAATTATTGATTTTACCCTCTAACTAAACAACATTTTAATTTTAATTTTAAATTTAGCTAAAGGAAAAATTGAATGAATTGATAGCTCATATGTATAATTACTTCCTCTAATTTTCTCTTAGTGTCCTTCAATTCTCTATCATGAATACAAAATTCCAATGTTCTTCTTTTTTTATCCCAAACCTGATATTCTTTTAATTCTTCTTTTTCCTCTTCCAGTGTTTGCAAGCGCTCTTCTATAGTTTTAATAAACTCAACAATTTTTTCCAATTTGGTTTGTGTATCTAAAAATATAATTCATTAACTTAACTCATTTTTTTTTTTTAGAAACGTTTTTGTAGTCATCAAAAACTTGAGTAGTAGACTTAACTTTAAACAAATTCATTACATTCAACAAGTATAAAATCATTAATAATATAATGCATTTATTATTAATACCTTTTAATATATCAATAGATTCTTCTTTTCGTTCATCATAAACTCGAGTACCAGCCACTTCCCTCAATAATTTTAATCTCTGAGAATCTGGTGCTGTAGCCATTTGATTAATCTATCACAAATTAACAATTCAATCATTATTAATAATTAATTAAAAATAAACATAATAGTTATTATACTTTTCCTTGTTTAACAATGTAATATGGATTTGAATGAGAAAATCCAGCCGATTCCAATAAATTTGTAACATCAGATCTTGGTACCATTTTTTTATTCAAGAAGTATTGATCTTTTTTAGCTCCAATCACACGTCGCAGAATAACTTCTTCTTTTTCAATCTAAAAAAAAAAAAATTATAAGGAATCAATAAAATTTAAGTTAATAATGATTAAAAATAATTTAATTTTGAAACACACTGGTAAACGATTATCAGTATTATCAAAAATAATTTCCACATATGCTGTAACAACCCTAGGACCTGTTCCTTCATGAAGCAATGCTTGTCTTTGCTCAGGGCGTAAATGGGAGAATTCATCACTTAGAACAAACTGTATAGCTATAAAAATAAAAAATAACAAAATTTAATAAATAATAATTAAATTATATAGTTGTAGGGTATACAAATAATTTACCATAAAAGAAATTGCTTTTTCCCGATCCATTACGACCAACTAAAAACAATAATAATATAGTAAAAGTCAGCAACAAAATATTTATTTTCTTTTTAAAAAAAAATAGTTATAACAAATAATATATTTTATAGAAGAAATTGCCAAAAGTCAATAGGCAGTAAAATACATTTCACAAGTTCAAAAGTAATGTTTTTCCTATCTTGTGTCCATCCAAATCTAAAGCACCAAGTAATATGACATTTTAAACATAAAAAGAAAGATGGTCTTATTACACCTATCAGATTTTTTAATTTAAATTTCTATATGGGTGATTAAAATACTTAATGTTTTACTTAAAATATGAAAATTAAATTAATTTAGTTGCCTTGAATTAAAAAATTAGGAAAAAATAGATTTTTACAAGCCATTTATGTAAGCTTTTAATAATTTAATTGACATTGGCTATGACTGAACTCCACTAGTTATAAAGTACACATACTCATAACAAATAAATTGTATTATTAATTTCATACAAATTTCAGGAGAAAATTAGTCAAAACTTGGCTTTTTAATTATTATTTAATTCAAATATACAAAGTAATCAACATAATGAAATACAATCATTATATTGGAAAATATTACCTTTTTCGGAATTTGTTTTTTTAAATAATTTAAACAATAAGTAACTCAACAATGTTCCATTGATCTTTTCTTTGTCAACCTTGTTTAATGGGATGAAACCACTGCCTAATTTTGATTTTCAAATAGCAACCCATATTAAAATTTCTATAAATAGATGGAATGTTAGTTTAAATTAATGCATGTGTTAAATTTTTTAGATTTCTGTCAACCCATTAATGTATTCCACTTTTAAGTTTTTTAAATTGATTTTATTTTAACTAATGTTCAATTTACTTATGTAATTGTTAAATAGATTGCCATTTGATAATCAAAAGTAGGTAAAGGTTTCACCCACTAAAACAGGGTTTATAATTTCTTAAATGTTCTAAAAAACAAATTCCGAAAAGAGAATATTTTCTGAAATAATGAAGTGCATAACTTTTAACATAGCATCTAAAATTTATGTTGATCATCACTCTGTATAATTATAATATGAATAAAAGAATTTACTATATCATTTTTTTAAGAGCAGAAAATACCAGAAAACTGTTAAAACCAAAATATGAATTTCAATAAAAGGTAACTAATGAATTCCATCTGATATCTTTTTGATTACAGCTACACATTGGTCAAATTGATCAAAACAATAAATAAAATAAACTATATTATATTATATATTGGTTTATATAGACTTTTCTCCAGTTAATACTACAGAAAAAGTATTCCTTGAAAATTATTAAGTAATTTATGAAATATTTCTACTTTTTAGAGTAAACATTTTTTAAGGCATTGCATTCTAAAATATTAGAAAAAGTGATGCGCTTTTAGATTCTGAATGTAGTGAAGAATTTATGAGTTTTACAAAAAGGTTTATTTTTTTTATTTATGTGAACACTTTTTGTATCAGAAAACTTACTTTGATTTACAATGACAGCACTTTGTCTAAAAGAAAATCTGACTTGGGTTGTACTTTAGGGAGGTTGTTTTTCAATTTTCTCAGGCGGTTTCTCAATATATTGGAAAAACCAGAAAAACGGAGAAACCGGGGAGAACAGGAAAATAGATACAATATTAAACAAATATTATTAAAGAAAATATATAATCCTTATTTAATTATTTTACCATAATATGACATATACAGTGAATATACAGTTTCACTCAGATATTAATACGAAATATTTCTGTCCAGTGATCTTAGATTGATATGAGGTTTTCAAGAGAGGATAGAAAATACTGAAATACACATTTTGTATGGATTTTAGCATTTCTTACCCTTTCAGTGTGCACATGTGTAATAAATAAAACTTGCATTTTTTTTTTAAAGAGAAACATTTATTTCCAACTCTTGATTTGGATAAACCATTTTTTAAACAACTTATATAAATGGACTTTTCCCTTATTTCGAAAATTGTCCAAAATACAGCTAGTAAAATGTTGAAACAAAATTATATTACTATTATTAAATTTATTTTATTTTAAATAATTTATTACAAAAAATACTCATCAATCATCATTATCTTATAAATTATTCAAAGTTTTGTACATTATGTTGTAAACATACTTCTGAATAAAGTCATATGACTTCATCTTCAGTAGCTGTCATAATTTGTTCATCAATTGTGTGCATACTTCAGTGATTTTTTGTTTAAAATGCTGGGGACTAATTGGTGTGTCAGTATAAACTAGTTTTTAAATGTCCACAAAAAAAATCTAAAGGCGTCAAGTCAGATGAATGCCACGCAAAGCTATCCATATGTCCCCATCCAATAAATAGATGGTGTGGATTAATTATGGAGGTTTCATAATAGGCCCCTATTTTTATGATGGAACATCAAATGGAAGGAGATAATTGAATTTTCTCTCTAACTATTTACCACCATTGTAAGAGTGTTCCATTAGATATTAGAGAAAATGTATCTTGTTTACAGGATGGTGCTCTCGGACACAATAGTATTATTTTAAGGCAATACTTATGTAGCAAATTTGAAAATCATTATATGGAGACATATGGACCGATAGCTTGGCCTGACTTGGCCACTGGCGTGGCTTCATCTAACAACTACAATTTATGAGATAATGATGACTGATGAATATTTTTTGGTAAATAAGTTGTTTAAAATAAAATTAATTTAATAATTAGAAAATAATTTTGTTTCAACTTTAACTAACTTTATTTCAGCCAATTTTCAAGTTAAGGGAAAAGTCCATTTATATAAGTTACTAAAAAAAAAAAACGGTTTATCTAAATCAAGTGTTGGAAATAGGTGTTTCCATTTAAAAAAATGCAAGTATTATTAAGCATGCGCTTACTGAAAGGTAAAGAAATTTGAAAATCCATGCAAAATGGGTATTTCAGTATTTACTATTTTCTTTTAAAAACTCCAGTTTAATCCGAGGTCACTGAACAGGAATATTTTGTGTTACCATTTTAGTGAAACACACTGTATATTGTTGATAAAGTATCATTATCAATTGAACTCCGCTCAATTTCCGTTTACACTTACCACTATTTTCAGTATTAAAGGAATACATTAAATTTAAAAAAATCTAAAATTTAAGGTGCCCCATAAATTGGAAATATGCCTAATTTATTATTATTAGTTGTCGCACAGTGTTTTTATTTTAGTATTATTTCAGATAAAATAAATTGTTACAAATCAAAAATATTATAATAATATAAGTACATAAATATTAAAAATTGATCAATATTAAAGATGAAAGTTATAATCTAACACAGTGGTTTTCAACCTATTCAGGTCTGCGGCTCTTATGATTTTCAAATCCAAATTAGCGACTCTCAAATGATAACACAATAAAAACATAAGTTCACTTTATTAAATTTACTATATTTACAATATAGACAGGATGAAAACCACTGGTCTAATTTTTAAAAATCAAATTTATCTGTTTTCTTATTTTTAGATTCTGAGTGGAGTAAAGAAGCTTATTGTTTTAGAATGTTTATTTCTTTTTTTATTTATCTGTGAATAACTTTTCTACTAGAAATACAAATTACAAATGTAACAATTTTTCTAAAAGAAAATCTTACTGGTACTATATAAGACATTTTTTTGATATTCCCAGGAGTATTCCTATTAAATGGGGAAAATATTGGAAAACTGGAAGACCGGGAAAATAGATAAAATATTAAAGAAATTGTTTAATTTATATGTAATTATTTTACCATAATATGATATATATATCAAAACAACATTTTTAACTGAACTCTGCTCAGAATCATTTTTTTTTTTTTTTTTCATTAGCAATGGTTAATTTTTATTAAAATTTTGTTAAATTACAGATATACATTAAATGTCCGTCTATATCCTACATTCCCAACTTCCCACCTACAACAGTGGCCTACCAATTATGCGATTTTGCATGGCTTTTTTAAAATTTGTGTTACGTGGTCTATGTATATGTGTATGACTCTCTTCTTACTTAAATTAATTTATAAATTTCTATATCATTGGATGAAATGTGTTTAAAGTGAATATAGAATATAGATGTAAGTAAGGATAAGGAGTTTTCTGAAAATCCAATTAATTTTAAAATGCGTTTGCTTATTTACTCCTATTTAACTTTACGAGTTACAATATTTAATATAATATAATAACAAATATTAAGTAAAATTTTGAATATATTGGAACAGGAGAAAACAAATTATAATTTATAACAATAAATTATTTAATAATATTCAAGGAAAATTTGTTTGTATTACATACAGGAGAAAATACTCCCTATGGGAGGGGATCAGAATATTTCCACAGTACGGTTGCAATAGGCCACAAATTTAGTTGCATCAGCCTCTGTAAAATTCTGTCAAACAGTAAAAGTTCTAACCAAGACTTTGGTCCACTGCTTTATCTCGGATGTGACATTAGGTGAGAGGATTTATCATGGCATATGATGTTTTGAAGATATATCTGTGATAAAAGAAAATCTGAAATAAGCTAACAATAAACTTCAGGAATAGGATTAAAAGTAAACCTGAGTATAAGTTTGGAGGAACTGGACAAGACAACTAATGAAAATAAACTGTTATAGGCGAGGTTGAAGTACCTTGATCTTTTATACAAAAGAACAGTAACTTTTAAGACCATGTGAAACATATATAATTACTTGTGGTAAAATAAAGCAAAGAGAAATGTCAAGTGTTTTATGTTTCAGGTGACAAGAAAATTCCAAAAAAACTTAAAGTTCTACAGAACTGTGATGAGACCAACTTTGTTGTATAGTTTGGAGTGCTGGATGGTAGACAGAATAATAGAATAGAAACTAGATATAGTAGAGATGATAATATTAAGGTGGATGATTGAAATGATGAGAGAATATAAAATAAGGAATGAAAACATAAGAAGTAGCTTAAGCATGGTTTTGATAAGAAATAATCCAAGATGGTTTGAACATGTCATAGAATAGGAATCTTAAGCAACAAGCATTGTTATGATAATAAACACAGTAGGAAGGAATGAAGAAAATGGCTAGATACAATTGAGAATAATATGTTAATATCAGACATATGCGAGGTGGAATATCTGATCAATTGTAAGTTTGGAAAAAGGGTGGCTCACCCCAAATAGTTTGGATAAAGACGAAAGAGAAGAAGAAGCAGAAAAAAAAATATAAACCGATATACATTTTTTATACAATTTATTTGACTGGAAACCAATTTGAAACTGTGATCAGCAGTTCATGATCAATAAACTAAATCTTAAAAAAACCAAAAGAAAAATTTTGTCAGAGTACTAGTAATTTCATTTATATTACTGATAAATTAAAAGTTAAATTATAAGAACACTTTTTTATTTTAAAAAAATTAAAAAAAACTTGATTTGTAAATTTGTTTGAATGTATTTTCAAAGCAAAGTAGAGAATGTGATATTTATACAAAATTATTCAATAAAATATTGTTAATTTTAATTTGAACAAATTTAAACTAATCACTATCTCATTTGAATAAATTATTTAGATCTTTAAAAAATAAATCAAAGATAAAAGTGACAAAGAAAAATACATTCACAAATTTAATGTTATTAATAATTATACATACCCACAACATTGTGCCTTTTATCAAATGGTTCCACTACAGTTTGTTCTCTATAGCTTTTAAAGCCATGTATTATAACCTATAAAAAACCACACAAACATGTTATTAAAAAAACGTGTTAGAATTATATTCTACTTAATATTAATCTTTGAATAGAATAAATTAATATACAAATTATTTACTATTTTAAATTTACTATGCCCTAAACTGTAAAATCATTAGCAAAAGAGTGTTTATTTTTTTTTGACTTAATTATTTGATTAAAGTTTGATGGACTTTATAACAAAACATCAAATAATTGCATTATATATCCAAGTGAAATATACCTATATACTAATAGGTACATTATTTCTGTACAAAATTAGTCACCCCTACTACAGTGTTTACTCTTTCTGAGTACTAAGAAATACCGATGTGCTAAGTCTGATCATCAGTATAGACATAAAATAATAAATAAAATCTGATAATAGTAGAGAATTGTTAATAAATAAATTATAAACAATTTAAAAGTTAATATTTAAAATAAGTATAGGTACCTAAACTAAATTCTATTATTAATTTAATTTGAAATAATACTTGAATAATTTCTATTAATGATATTTCAAATAGGTAAATAAAAGTTACATAATACATAATATGTATAAGTACTTTATATAAATAATAAGTCCCAAATATTAAGTATTTATTAATATTTTTCTCCATAAAAATAATTAATTTAATGAATTTTCTGTTAAACATATATTTATGTGCAACCATGTGTACCTACAATCTACTTATAAATAAAAATATAATTTTACAAAATAAATAGTTTTACGTTATAGTTAACTTTATATTTCACAAGTTCATAACGTAACTACTCAGGGATTAGAATTTATTATACGATTATTATATAAACTGAAACAAAATGATTGTAACAAAAAAGTGTTTTAATATGAATTGAATAATTGTTTGGATTTATATATATATATATATATATATATCAAACTTATTTCTGTGGACGGCCATATGAAATTTCAATATTTGTCAATAGGTATGTTAATTTATACTAACCTGTTTGATATACATCTTATGGTATAAATTCTAAACGTTGACGAGGCGTATAGTTCTTCTTTTTTAATTTAATTCACAAAGAAACATAATTTAGTTCACGATTTGATCCATTCAAACTTAAAAAATTACAAGGTAAACAAAAAATGGACCGTACGCGCGACACTACAACCTTACTATGTAAAAATTGCTGATAAAATAAGACGCGATGCAGCGATGGTGGAAACGGGTGACAAACAGTTTAACCAATAACGACAGTCGTCACAAACGTCGTTTGTTCTAATCGCGCGCTCAACATCCTTCTATGTTAATTTTTTAGAATATTTAGATTATTTTACTATACTCATATTATAAACTATGTCATATATGTTTGAAAATATTGCATCTGTCTCTCAGCAGCCAACCAATTTAGTGGATTTTCATTTGTACAAAATGGTTATTGTAACTATGCACTAGACACTATTCTTGGATCGATATTTGATTTTTTTTTTATTTGTGTTATATATATGACCCTATACTCATGCGCGCGAGTAGCACGTCGCATACTCACACTAATACAATATATTATTTTCCTGACAATTTTGTTCCCAGCAACTACACTACGGTAGGTACAGAGATAACGCGTATAAAATCAATAGTACAACTTCTGTAGTTTCGGTGGGCGGAATGGTGGGCTGGGAATATAATAAGGACCCGCGACTCGCACATCATTAAAATATAGGCACTTACTATATGTACTACTATATATTTTATTAAAAATAACTGAACGATTTTAAATGGTCGCTTATTCGCCATTTACGTATTCATTACGATTATCATTTTTAATCGAATTTTCTCCGAAAATAGAGATTATTGCGATAAACAATTTGTTATATAGGTATAACCTATATATTATCTTTTCCCCGGTACTTTTGGACACTTTTATAGCTGCTTCCTCTGCATCAAACGAGCTCAAACTTGGGAATTATTTTCATAAGTTTTTTTTATTGATGAATTAAAATGATAGGTACACTTTTGGTAGAGTTTTAATATGAACTTTATACTGTTACAGTTATGAGAGGAAGGTGTTTTTAACTTATTTTTACATTCTTATAGACCCTCTATAAATGAAACCAGGTGTATGGAAATTTGTATACTTATGCATAATGCAAGTATTAGTGATGTGCCTTTTGGGATTTTTAATTTTCAACCCCTACCCCTTCCAAAATCATTTTGTATGCCTGAATTCCATGTTTTCATAGGAAATACCAAGTTTTAAATAGTTACCCTTGACACATCAAAGTAAGTAGATAGGTATAAATAGTATTATTATTGAGGATGTATCTTTAGAAGAATTAAATTTCCTATCACCGTTCTTACCGTATGTTAACCAAAAATCAAAATCCCGAAATTCAAAAACTACTTTACCTATTTTGATGGACATTTTACTGTTCGATTAATCAATTCCATATTATCGGACACTTTTATACCATAAAAAGTGGGGTAGCCAGGTAGAGGATCGTGAAATATGACAGAGGGAGGAGGTGGACATGGTTAATATGGATGTCTAGTGAATACAAATTTAATTTAAATAAGTATAAATAAAATAATATAATTAGGTAACATTTTATTTATACCTAATGTATACCTAGTTAAATAAATTCATAAAATTGAGTATGCAAAATTACAAACATAAATTTATCAACAATCCCACTGAATAAGTCGGTAATTTAGTATGGTTAACCAATAACCATATAACCTTACTGTTGTATGAATTTATGTTGTAAATAGTAATATTGAATAAGTTTTAAATATAATTAACACAATAACGTATAAATAACAATTTAATTTATACTTTGATACAGAGGACAACTTAAAAAAATTGTGTGCTGAAGTGCAACTAACCACGCCCCTCACGGAATTTTTGAAAATATGTGTTTTTTGACACTGATTTAGAAAATGTTTAATTTTTTTTTCGGAAACCAATATTACACTTGACACACTATTCTCCTTGCAGATGTTCAGGTTAAAAATATTAATATGCTATGGTAGATAAATAAACAATTTAAAGTTTGTTTTTATATGGCTTAGCATATGATGGTCATCTAATGTGTAGTTTTACATTTTTAGTTCTTTGTTTTTTTCTACCCGACAAATCAAGGTTTATTTTGTTTCGATTTTTTTTTTTATGTGTGTGACATGAGCTCATGATGCTAACTCATGGAGAAAGATCATCTTTTTAGTTTTTAATTTTACGTGTTTTGTATTATTCGAAATATATGTATGTAAGTATTCAATTTTTAATAAAATAATTATTATTCCGTACTTTACAGTGAATACGCTTGTTTATATACCTATATATAACTTTAGTATTGAGTTAAGTATTTTCCCTGGTAAATAGTAATCTAAATATAGCTGATCTTAAAATTAAACCTTTATTTAAAAGTAGGAATAAATCAAATAAGAACAATATTATAGTCCAATATTCATGTTAGGTAATTTTTTAAAAAATAATTAAAGCTATACTGATTGACTTTTTAGAATAAAATTTATTTACTAGATAATAATAATTTGGATTTACACCGGTATGAAGTCCAGAAAATGATATTTTTTATAATGTAACTAACTTTTGTATGGTAATTTAGATAGGTAATAGTAATTAATTGATAGCTATGTTTTTAGGGCTTTTGATACCGTAGTCAACCTTTTTTTTGTATTAAATATACTGATACTACCTAGCATTAAATTAAATAATTCGAGCCTAAATTGATTTAAAAGTAATCTAAAAAATAGGAAACAAACAGTGAAAATTGATGAAGTAAACGGAGAACATGTGTAATTAAATATAATGCACTACAAGTAATGTACCCATTATCTTTATTTTGTACTTTTGTAGGTATACCTGTCAACGAAATTTGTGATATCAATATTGATGGAACAATAGTTTTTATATGGTTACATAAAATGCTGATGAAGTGATGGTTTTACGGGAAGGGAAGTCCCAGGGAGGGGGTCTGAATCCTCCTTCCAGACCTCATGTTTAGACTTTGAATTAATTTTTCATTAAAAATTTAAAAAAAAAATAATAATAATTAGCAAATTTATACGAGTTATAATTATTTTTTTTACATACGTCATATATACATCACATGGAAAATATTACATTATGCATGATATAAAATAATATAATATTACATGTTTATCAAGTGGGAAAAACTGAAAAAAAAAATTGGAAAATTTAAGTAATATTTTTTAGTATAAAATTACGGTCTTTTTTTTCTGTCGACAACTTTTCTATTACCAATTTTGCTCCGATCATTTACAATGATTGAACTATAGCATTTTTTCTGAAAGTAAATCTACCTAGTAGGTAATTTAAGGTCATTTTTTGATTTTCTTAAGAGTTTTTTCAATAAATAGGAAAAACTAGAAAAACTAGAAAAATGTATGAAATAAGTATAAGTAAACATTTATTACAGTTTTTTTTAATCCTGTTTTACTAATTTTTATACCAGCAATTTCGTTCAATTTACAATGATAGCACTTTTTTTTTAAAAGAAAATCAGACTGGGGAGGCACTTTAGCGAGGTTATTTTTTGATTTCCCTAGGAGTTTTCCGGATGGATGAGAAAAATGGGAAAATAAGTACAAATAAAAAAAAAAAAACTATATAATGCATGTGTAATTATATTTTACTATAAAATTACATACATATATATATTGTTAACAAAGCAACACTATCAACCAAATTCCGCTCAGAATCGTTTTTTCATTACCAATGGTTAATCGTTGCTTATAGATGTACATTATATTATCTACAGCAGTAACTGCACCCGTTTCTATTATTCTAGGACAGCTTTTGAATTTTGTAAAACATAGGTTAGATTAGATTATGTGAGTAAAAAAAAATTATTTTTTCTGACAGTAAAAGTTGGGCAATTTAAATTAAATAAATGCATGATTAATGGAAAAATATTTGTTTGTGTTAAATATATAGATAATATCAATGGACTTCCCCAGAAAAAATGTCTAGAACCGCCTTTGTGCAGATGATACATGTCTGCTCTTTTCACATAAACCATCATTGGATGGTGTATATGAGAAGACCTACAGAGGTTTCACACAGATAATAGTTTAAGTGATAGAAATCTATTTTTAAAAGCAAAATAAAACTGCGTTCGTAACGTTTTGAATTAATCAATCTGATTTAAATAATACTATTATAATAAATGGCTGCGAAAGTAACAAAATCTGTATCCAAAAAAATAAATAAAAAAGTAGGTACCTAGTAATAAATTCGATACTTAGGTGTTACCTATATTTGATAACAATTTAAAATGGAACTCTATTAAGAAAACTATAGTTAATAACGTAAAAGTTTACCTTACTTAAAAAATCGTATCAAAAAAGACGCCCTAGGATAATAGGGAAATATGCAGCCTCTGTCATAGATAATTTAATGTATACCTGTATGTAACGATAAACTATTGCTTACGAAAAAACGATTCTGAGCGGAAATCAGTTGATAGTGATGCATTATCAACAGTATATATATATATCATTTTATAGTAAAAAATAAAATTAATTAAATAGGCTTTATATATTTTCTTTAATAATATTTGTTTAATTTTGTACCGATTTTTCCAGTTTTTCTACGTTTTTCCCGGTTTTCTATGTTTTATCCCGGGTTTTTACATTTGCTGGGAAAACTCCTGAGAAAATCAAAAAATAAATTTTTTAAAGTACCTTCCTGGTTAAATTGCTATTGCCATCGCTATTGCTATTGCTAATCGCCGCCATTACTATTGTAATACGTTTAACCTCCTTAATCTAAATTCCGATCATTCCTCTGTACTTTTGACACTCAAACGTCTTATGAAATCGTTCATACAATACACATTTCGTAATGACGACGTATTCATTGTCTATTTATTTATTTAAAAAATTAAAATATTAAACGTTCCAAAACCATAGTACTTAGAAAACTAGAAAGCGTCCTACCCGTTTTTTTTTACTTGGTACTGGCAATACACTCTGATAATAATACCTACACTTCATACATTTCCTCCGTTTATTTTCGGTTTCTTTTCATTTATTAGGACAACTCTTAAGAAAATCAAAATCACCTTCTAAAAATACCAATCCAACAAAATTTCCTTACAGAAAAAGTGCTATTATTGAAAATCGGAACAAAATTGCTGGTAGCAAATTTGTCCATAGAAAAAAACCATCATTGTAAAACCACTCATCTACTTAGAATCTAAAAATTATAATTGTTGGTGTAAATATAAATATGAAATTCTTAGTATATAAATATTAATTTTTTTAATTAGTGAATCATGCGAGTTAATGTTAACCATTTTTGATATTTTCTTTCGTTGTAATACCTACTTGTTTGTAATTATTTATTTATCCTGAACATTGTTTATGTTTTACTTATGTAAAAAATAGAAGAAAATATTTATTGCAATCTTAGAATTTGATTTATAAAGATGATGAATATATTATTCCATTGAGTTCTGAGTGAAACAAGGAATGTGTTGGTTTTACAATGATGTTTATTTTTTCATGTGAACACGCTTTCTATCAGAAAGACATTTATGAACATTATAAACTGAACTCCACTCAGAATTTTTTCGTTCGCAATGGTTTATCGTTGCTTACAGATATACATTCAATTCTCATCTATATCCTACTTTCCCAACTTCCCTACTATAACAGTAGCTGCAACAATGTGTGAAAGTATGTCCATCTTTTTAGAATTTTAGATTCTAAGTAGAGCGAAGAAGCTTCTGGTTTTACAAAGATGTTTATTAATTTTTTTTTATTCTTTTAACAACTTTACTACTACAACTCTACCAGACTTGCTCGGATTTCTCAGTGTAGTACTAGGATTAAGTTAGATTAACACTATTGTATTTCACTAGGGAGGTACTTTAGAGAAGTCATTTTTTGATTTTCTCAGGATTATTTTCAGCAAATGTAAAAACTCGAGATAAAACATGGGAAAACCGGGAAAAATGTAGGGAACTTGGGAAAAATTGGTACAACATTGAAGATATATAATTAAAGAAAATATATGAAGCCTATTTAATTAATTTTATCTTTTACTATAAAATGACATATTTTTTGTTGATAATGCATCACTATCAACTAAACTCCGCTAAGAATTGTTTTTTCGTAATCAATGGTTTATCGTTGCTTACAGGCGTATATTAAATTATCTATAACAGTGACTATACTCGTCCCCATTTTTCTAGGACGTCTTTTTTTATACTGTATACAAAACTTTACCAGAAATCTTGCCCCAAAGTAGTTATTAATTATAGCACCTTTTCTGAAAGTGAATTTTCCCGGGATGGTAATTTCGGGAGGTTATTTTTAGATTTTCCCAAGAATTATCCTAATTAATAGGAAAAAAATAATTATTAAAACCGGAAAAAAAGATACAATATTAAACAGATATTATTAAGAGGACGTTATAGCCGCATCTACTGTCTCAGTCGAATTATCAAGTAACGTGCAATTACAATGCTTTCGCAGAATAAGTAAAATTAGATTAATTTTGATTTTAGAGTAAAAGTACCTATTATGAAATTTATAGAGAACAATATTTTGGAGGGAATGTTATAGATTTTGTTGGTTTTATAAACTACCTACCTATTAAAAAAGTTATTTATCTATTTAAAAAAAGAAAAGGTTTTCGTATCTTTTATATCGAGTTGTATATTTTGAATAATACAACAACTTTACAACATTTCATCTTAAATATTATTTTCTATAAATTTCATAATTGGTACTTTTACTCTAAAATTATAATAAGGCTAGTTTTACTTATTCTGCTTAGGTAAGAATTGTTTTTGCATTTTACCTGGTAGTTGGACTGAGATAGTAGATGCGGTTATAACGTCCTCTTAAAGAAAATATACAATTCATAGATATGTTATTATTTTACCATAATATGACATATATATTATTGACAAAGCCACACTATTAACCGAACATTGCTCAGAATCGTTTTTCGTTAGCAATGGTTAATTGTTGTGTATATATACATACATTAGATTTCCTTTTTATACCTTCCCAACTTCTCACCTACAACAATGGCCCACCCACTTCCGAAGTATGTCTGTCTTTTGTTTTATTTTTTTCCCCCCTCATATAATATTATCTTCAATTTATTCATTTATACTATGTTTATAATTATTTTTTATGTTATATTAATCGTAACTCTTAATCTCTAACACAAAGTCTACAAGCCTACAGGAGATGGATTAATTAAATCTGTAATCAAGTAAGTAAAGTCTAATCCATAATATATTTTTTGAATTTTCTAATAATACATTTTTTAAAATTTCAAATATTTTTCAAAATCAGAGTCGAAAAACACGTCTATTCATACAACAATTTTAATTTGTGAAGGACGTTGTAAAGTGCTTATTCTCAATTATGTTACGTTCAAGAAATTTGTATTTTAATATAATTAAAAATATATATTTTTTAAATAATAACTACTATAAGTGTGTTAAAATTCGAATTTAGATTTTGCGCGTGATGTCTACGAATTTTCTGTAAAAATCTCAGCTGCAAAAGGTATACAATATGTTATTGTGATAAAGGCTAACTTGGGACCAAAAGACTCTATGAACATTTTAATAGGTAGCTCAAAGTATTATACTTCTGCAAGTATGCTAACTATAATAGTAGGTAAGTATACACTATTGTCGGTATAGTCAGTTGATTAATGGTATAACTTTTTATTCTTTTTAATAGACAATATTTATCTACACACAAATTAACGATGTTGTTAATCTTATTGTCTTTTTTAATGTTTTGTCAGTTTTACATTTTTTCTCAGTTCTATAATTCATAATAAGACATCCGGAAAAATGCGAATATGAGGTAATTGAAAGTATATGGATTTTTTATTAATGGGGACATACAAAAAATAGTAATTTTTTTTTATTTTGATTTTTTTACATTTTTTTCTTCTGTCCTAGAAAATTTAATTTACTTGAATTATCAACTGTGTTTCAAATAAATACTTTCAACACCTTTTATACCAAATCATAAATAGGTAAAGAGGATTAATTTACTTTGATTATTAAGATTTTTGGACTAAATTTCAGCCTATTAAAGGTGAATACATTTAAATTTTGAGTAAAAAGATTAGTTATTCAAATATTTATTAATATAATAACTATGTAAACTTATATCTAGAAACTTTTGGTTTGTTTTTTTTTTCTTTCGATTAGCAAATAATTGTACTGAACATCAAAATATGTCTAATAAAATAATAAAGTAAAAACATAATTATCAAAATGATTCAAATTCGTAAATTAATAAAGTAAATAAACATATAAATACAAAATATGCATATAAAAATAAAAAATATAAATGAATGAATTGGATGTGATTTTTTCAACATCAAACAAAAATTACTACACAAGAAGAATGCGAAATGGCATAGGTTTAATAATAAAATTAATATTTTAGTAACACAAAATACAAGTTAAAAACTAGCATTCTTTTAAATTACGAGTTACTAATTTAATTAAATAAGAGTATCCTATAAAGTATGATTTTAAATCAATCACTGCTTTTTTTTTTTTTTATCTAACATTGGTATTAATAAAGGATAATAATAATTATCAAAGTATTTTTATATTACATATTAAAATTAATGTTTATCCTTAAATATTAAAATAATTGATAAGATAATTTGATTATCTTATTTAAACTAATCTTAACTTAAAATTATAGAGGAAATTATGTTTTTTTTTTTTTTTTTGGTGGGGGAGCCGAAGGGGAAGGCATTAAAAGAGACTCCATGGACAATGACATCATTTGAACATGAAAGATCATTTAACCAATTGTTCACAAAACCCAAAAACTTAAAAAAAAAAAAAAACTGAAAAGAATAGATGAGGAAACCAATGTGTACTACCTACTTCCTTCAAAATACTGGAATGAAACAACAATATAATAACTAAAAAAACAGTAAAACTATAATTATTTTAGCTCATCCCAGAACCTAATCACACTACAATAAATCCCAGAACCTAATCACACTACAATAAAGACCCAATTTTAGGAAAAAATTAAAACATTAAAAATCTAACTGGGACTAATCCAAAACATTAAAGTATGTACAATATATACATAAGCAAAAATATTGACTTCTTTTCTTTCGATGTTAATTTGTAGCTTAATTCAGCCTTATTGATTTGATGTTGNCAGAACCTAATCACACTACAATAAAGACCCAATTTTAGGAAAAAATTAAAACATTAAAAATCTAACTGGGACTAATCTAAAACATTAAAGTATGTACAATACATACATAAGCAAAAATATTGACTTCTTTTCTTTCGATGTTAATTTGTAGCTTAATTCAGCCTTATTGATTTGATGCTGATTCAAGTGTTCCTGGAGAACAAAAATTAATTACGATTAATTTAAAGATTTAAAGATTTTTGGACTAAAAAAACAGTAAAACTATAATTATTTTAGCTCATCCCAGAACCTAATCACACTACAATAAAGACCCAATTTTAGGAAAAAATTAAAACATTAAAGTATGTACAATATATACATAAGCAAAAATATTGACTTCTTTTCTTTCGATGTTAATTTGTAGCTTAATTCAGCCTTATTGATTTGATGTTGATTCAAGTGTTCCTGGAGAATAAAAATTAATTACATATCACTATAGAATATATTTATTTTTTAAAAATAACTTACTCATATCTTTAAGACTATTTATTTTTTGAACATTTTCGCCAAGAATTTTTGCAATAACTTCATTATCAATTGAAACAGATATTTCATCCCCTCGTCTTCTTGGCTGTGGTGGTTTTATTTTTGGTAAAAGTTTATTCATATTTACTCTGATTAACAAATTAGGGTTAGTCACTCTCATTTCATCTATTATTAATCTGGCTGCAGCTTCAACCACAGCAACATGTACTACATTTTCATCAGTAAATAATGGGCACCTAATAAATAAGTTATGCATCATATTATAAATTCATTTTTTAAAATTTTAAAAAATTAATCAACATGTATACCACTAACTTATTGGGCATTATTCTATTATGATAAAAATGTTCATAAATAGGAGTGATAATCTTCTTACAAATATAACAAATAGAAGTTCCACATGGACACACTATTTTATTACAGCCTGAATCCTTTAGAAACCTGTTTTTACAAACTGGACAATTTCTGTTTAGATTTAAAAAAAAAAAAAATCAAATAAATGATAGACAGAAAACTGTGATTTGCAAATTTTAAAAAAAAAAATCAATAGTTGGTAGCCTGGTTACCTGATGAGTACTTCAGACATTTTGTTTTCAATCCTAGTTCTAATTACAACTTCTGGTGTTTGTATGTTTTCATAACATGATAAGGGAAGATGATTTTCTTTCTTACATGATCTAAAAAGAAAAGAAAAATGATGGTACATAGATAAGTTTATGTTCAAAATATTAATGCTCATATGATATTATGACAATAATCCAATAGAAGAACAAGATCTATTCTTTGAGTACACAAAGTAAAAGACCAGGTTGTTATAAAAGGTCAATTTTACGAGTCACATTCATACATTATTAATATGTTTGTTTAATATTTAAAAAGAAACTTCAACATTAAAAAATAAAAGATTATTATCTATTCAAAAATAATACATTTATAATATTCGTTATTATAAAATAACTAGATTTTTCGGAAATTATTTTTAATAATTCTTGTACTTCATAGGTATTGAATTTATTTTATAAAAAATTACTGTTGTTTATGCCTAGGAATGGATGAACATATATATTTTTTACACCAAGAGAAATTATTTTATAACCTGGCTCAATATTAATTTTTCAATGAGATCAAAAATATTTTATATATTTTGTAAAAACTTATGTATAAAAAAATTTGTTTTTATTTCATGAGATACTATGGTAATCAACAAAAATAAATAAATATTAATTTTATATGTTTTTATGTGCGAATTTGCCATATATTTTAAGAATAAATAACCTGATTGTTAATACTTACTGGCAATGAATTATTATTATTATTATTATCTACATAAACACAATATTTTTTAAAATCCTTTCTAATTGCACATTAAGAGTATTAGAGAACTACTATTCCAAATATCAAGTTTGTATGTTGTGTAGTTTTTGAGAAATAGTGATCAGTGATACTTGTATTTGGTTTTTAAAAATATATATAGATTATTTAGTATTTATACTTTAAAATAGGATATAAAGAAAACATTTCTGAAATAAAATTTAAAAAGACTGTGCTTAATTCATCAAATTTCGCTAAACATGTTTAAGAAAAAAAGGATAATATAAGTTTTAATATTAATATAGACTTAGACATATTATATACCCAAAATAGCATTTACATTAATTCAGATTTAGAAGAATTATTATACATACATAATGAAATATAGAAAAATAATATTTTACATCAATACATTTTAGATAATAAATAATTGTTGTTTCTTATATGTTCTATAAAACAAATTCTGAAAAAAATTAATACTTTTGATATTATTATAATACAATCAATTCCATTGTAGTATATAAAAAATTGATAATTTCAAAATTTCCATTACATTTTGAAAGTTTAATCTTTAAATATAGCTATAAAAATATATACTGACCTACAGAGTTCTTTACCACATTTTGGATTTAAGCAAGTAAAGACTTTGAGATCCTGAGGTACACTGGCAACAAAATTACAAAATGTACAAGATTCAAGGTTTTCAATATTGGCTGCATCGATCTCTTTTGTTTGCTCTAAACTTACTATACGTTCACATAATTTGTCATTAACAATATTCTAAAAATACAATAATTTTAGTTTTAAATTTATGTATAAATCAGTGATTAAGTGATAAAGGAAACTCACTTTTATCATTTCCAAATTTAAATTTTCAGTACACTCAGTCAAGCACTTAATTTCTAGTTTTTTAAGAGTAACCTGAGATTCTACAATCCTGAAATAAAATTGATATTTGATGAAATTAAAACATTATAAAGTACAATAAAACTTTATTGTATTTTATTATATAAATATTTTAAAAATTACGTTTCAATGCATTTCAAACAGAATGAATGACCCTTTGGACAACAATAAACTTCAGAAATCAGCAATTCTGTTTCGTAACAACATTCACAAATATATATTAAATTAGCCATCTTCGCCTGTATACATAATACCGTTTATACAATAAGTAAGTGAATATTATAGATAAAACAAATAATATTAATCAGATATTTGATATTAAGTATACAAGTATATATTTTAAAAATACTTATTAGTTAAAATAAATACTAAATTATATATATTTACTTCCTCAAGTTCAATTAATCGCATAGAGGCTTCAGTGCTCATATGGTATTCTACAGCTTCTTTATTTTCAACAAATGCAATCTATGATACAATGAATTTTATGAATAAATATATTATAATAAAGTAATTAGTATATTATAAGTACTTCTTTCAACAAATCTATATCATCCATTCCACTAAGATAAATCATCATTCCACTAGCCAATTGAGATCTCGCATTTTCAGATGATTCTGGATACTTTTCCTCATCTAGCATCATGTCTTCTAATGCATCAACAGTTTCCAATAAATGAAAGTGTTTGACAAAGAATTCAGCTTGGATTAGTGGAACTGGTAGTCGATAAAATCTAATAAAAAAAAAAAAAAAAAATGTCCCATAAAATATATTTCAAAATGCTATACAATAAAACTCACTTATCATACAAGTAAGTCAATTTATCGCCATTAAATTTATAACATAAATGAGTTTTCGCCTTTAAAATATAATCCATTGGATCAGGGCAAATTTTAAGAAACTGAGTAGTTTCAAAGTTTATTGTCAAACTCTTTAAAAGATTTAAAGTCTCTATGTTATCGTTGTAAGTACTTAATTTTGGATATTTAGATTTTTTTCCGGTAAGAATTGATTCAATAAATTCTTTTAGGGCATTAGGAGATTCATGTTTGAACCACTCTCCAGCTAATTCCAAAAAAACAGGATCGGCTTTTTTAAGTGATTTTTTTAAAACATCTATTATCTGTAATTCTTCCTCATCTTCTTTGTGGTACTGCTTAGCCATTCTGAGATCAGTTAACACCAAATCAAATTTATAAAAATCAAGATACATAAGTAAGTATAAACGGTTCACATCAGGATATTTATCAATGAGCTTCAGATATTGCTTTTGATGTTCAACATAAATTGTTTCCCAGCCATAGTATTTAAATTTAGGATATTTATAAAATACCGTAGAAGGTTCTGGTTCTTGTAATTCCTTAACAAATAAAAAAATATATTTAGTACTATTCTAATATAATGTCATTTAATTATTGAAACAAGAATTTCTATGTCAATTTTTGTAAATATTATTTATCTACCACACAGTATAATAAAAAACAAAAAAAAAACTGACTTTTAAGTAAGTTATTTTTTTAAAAAAAAGTGATATATTTAAAAGAACACATAAGGTAATTTAGTTAAAACCTTGAATGTATTGATAAATCATTGTTAACATAATACGATTCTGAATAGAATTAAACATTATTTACTGAATTTAAATTGAAAATGTTAGTTATGTTTAACTATAAAATAATTTTTAATTTTTCAGATGTGCTGTGAAATGTGTGTATAATATTAGTGCAGGTTAAATCTAAATACTGAAGAATTTATACATTTTAAAGTCAACTTACCATGATTAGTACTGTATGACTGTCAATAAAAAGTCAATCCTAGAGTATTTCCAAGAACTACTACACCTTCAAAACAAGAAATTAAGTACATTTTATTTACTATAAATAAATAATTATTATTATTATCAAATAACACTATTATAAGTAAAATAGTAATAACAGATTGCACGGATGTATAACAATAGTTTAAATAATTAAAATAAAAAAAAATGTTTTTTTTTTTTTTATTAAATCTATGGATTAAATAGAGATAAATGACAAACTATAGCATGAATGCAGTTTAACTCCCAAGTGATATTTTTTGAATTTTTGTTTTAAAAAATGTACGTTTTAGTGTATTTAATATGATAGTACTTATGATATTATTATTCTTAATAAACCACATAAAACTTAATAAAGTTATTTCAAACATTAACATATTAAAGTAATTCAAAATTGACTTTTTAGACTTACAAAGTTTGTTAATAATAACATAAAAATCAAATACCATAGGTAAATTCCACCAAAATTTTGAGTATAAAAATACTAGTATTTATAACAAAAAATGTCCACATTTTTAAATTGTTGGCATTTTAAACTTAATAACACGATTTTTGGAAAAATCGAGCGTTTAGGTCATAACTTAAAAAAAAATTTGAGCGACTTTTTTCATCAACTTAATTATACAAACCTCAAAATATTTCCAAAAAACTACTTCAGAACTAAACGTTATTTGTTTCTTAAAAATATTTAAATTGTATTGATAACTATTAAAACAATACCAACGTACACGGGGAAAATTATTAATTTATTGTGATCTGTGTGGACAGTATTAAGCATTACTTTTATTTTGTTTTATTATATATTATACTTTCAATTGTTAATAATTTCCGTGTAATTCTATTTAACAGGTTAAGCGCCAGTACAGAAAATGTATTCAATGTAAAATTATGAATTTAGTGGCACGTAGGGCTTGTTGACCCGACGGTGTGACTTGTAGAGGGTTTTCAAGCCTTACCAGTACTTATACTGTACTAAACTGTTTTCATCACCGTGTATGGTGTCTAAAAGAAACATTTTGAAAAGTAGTATGTACGGTCAGTCGGCCCTACGTGACGCTTAACCTGTAAATATATTAAACATTTTAATAGAGACTTAAGATTCACTATCATAATTTACAACTATAACACAACCCTAAGGACTGTGATTGACAAACTTTATATGTTACTTGCTATATCATTCAAACTGATTTAACCACACTATTTTAATTCACATGTACGATTATTCAGTAGGATTTTGTGTTTTCAACGGTATATTTAAAATTTAAAATATAAACGGGTTCGGTTACAACGTGGTGATTATAACCCATGACCACATGAAGATAACGACAAAACCTCAAATGAAACTCCGGTAGAAAATAACCAATGAAATTACGAAATTTTTAAATTTTTATGAAACGGGTATTTGGTTTGTGTTGTAATAATGACAACAAAACTGAACGTTGATTTTCATTGTAGAAAAGAGGGATTGACAAACGCTCTTACCAATGATAGAAAGAGAGGTAGAAATTGGTACGATTCACAGCGATCAGTGGTGAGCATATAGTTCTCTGAAGGACCATGGATTTATTCATTAAATTGTAAATCGTACTGAAAATGTTGTGGATCCAAATACTGGAGCTCACACTCAAACAATAGAGTCATTGTGGGAGTCCAAGTTTAATAAAAAATGTTAATGGTGCATATCCACTATAAGACCGTTAACTTAAAGAAGAATGGTGGCGATCATGCCACCCGATTCAAACTCAATTATTTCATGATTTTTAATCAGATTTAAAAATACTTTTGCAGTATGAATATTACAAGCAACATTATATTAAGTACATTACTATTCTACGCAGCATACATAAACAATTACACATTGGACCAGCCATTTATCGATAGATCACACATTGGACTAACTATTTAACGACAGATCACATTTTGGACTGGGCCCCAATTTTACCGAGATCACAAACGCACACTTCTGAACCGCCTCTTTACGACCTCTGGCCGTAGCTTAACGGAAAGAGAGAAAATTGAAAATTTAACTACAGACCATTCGTCAGTCACATGGTAAATATATGTATGCGGCGATTTTCTATAAATTTTTTTTCTACCCCGATGCCTAACTCCAATCGATTAGGTTATATTGTATTAACGTAAATTGAATGTCAGTGGTTTTAAATAACAGTTATTTGAAGGGACGGGAGAAAAAAACTTCAATCATATCTTAGATGGTCACTGTAAGTGTATTTTTTGAAATTGAAAAAATAATTGCCCTAAGTTTAAATATAATAGTGACTATTGAATAGAAGAATAAACTTCATATTGTTTAATTATTTAAATTTAATTCATTGTTTAAAATATTACCTGAGATAAATGTCAACCAATCAATATTGTAAGATGAAACGTCTTCTTAACAGTAGGTAATTTACACGTTCAAATTTCACTGGTTGAATTAATATTTACTTTTCTACTCAATGTTTTATTGAATTAGCCCACGAGATTTTCCAGACAGTGAATAGGCTAAGCCTTGATAATCGAGGGTGTAGCACGTACAACGGCAGTACAGCAAAAGAAACACACAGCCGCATAAACCGATATACAACAATATAAATTTTTATTTGTTACTAATAGGTGGGTTTTTTAGGTTAGCTTGGGTTTAATAACTAGTGATACACAGTATTATTGAATTTCAGTAGCGGTCGTCACGTTTCTATCTTCACTACTAACCATACATGAGTCATGTATCAGTAACTTAATGATAAGAATATCTTATTAATCTACTCTTTTCACTTTTTTGT